GAGGAGGATGGGAAGCTGGAGAAGAAGCAGGGTCTGAAGGAGGAATGTGGCAGGATGGGGAAAGTCAAGGCCAAAGCAGGAACGCTCAGGGCTGGGACTCCCAAGCTTGGAGAGTAGCTCCCATAGGTCCCAGGAACGACATCAGTGCTGTTTGTCCAGAAGAATGAAGTGTTAGGAACAGCTAAGATCCTGTGCAAAACCCTCAAACTTCCAGGCCTGTCGCAGAGGACCTCAAATTGAAGAAGACACAGACCACCCATGTGGGTGAGAAGGGATTTTTTTTGGGGGGGGGGAAAGAGTGCATCTGCAGCAAACTTCAATGATCCCAAATGAATTGCACAAGAATGGTGACATCACTTCTTCAGTTCTAACCTCCTTGGAGGAGTAGCAAAAGGCTTTCAAAGCAAGTCCAGTTGCCTTTTGGAAAAAGCATCTGTGGCCTGGATGATTGAGAATCTCCATAAACATCTGTCCTACGAAAGTACACTTTGCCAGCAGCTCTATATTACTTGGGACTCATCTGGTTCCTGACAGCTGTTTTTCACAGCCATTTGATAGTTGGAAAAAGTCCTCCCATTGATCCCAACTTCTCCTGTAACTCCTGCCAGGCAAATTCTCAAAGAGATCAAGGAAAAGGGATGGGAGGGTGGGTCCCCAATTCTCTGACCCCCATGGAGATGATCCAGGGGCGGGTTTCAAAACCCGTCGCTAACGGATCGCTTCTGGGCGTGGGTGCGCTCACATGTGTGCGTGATGTTTCTGCGCATGCGCAGAAGATCCGGGCAGGTGGGCGGAGCCTCCTCTCGCCGCCGCTACCGGTTCGCCCACCACTGAGCTGATCCCTCTGAGCAAAGAGCTGACAGTGAAAGTCTCTCCCTCCAACTTCTAGTGCCAGCACATGGATGGCATAACAAGAGAAGGAAATCTCTTTTTGAGATGTTCCCAGCAGTTCTCTGGGAGACTGCTAGACCCATATTCAAGAAATTCCATGACTGGAGATTTCCGGGGGAGGAATGGTGAATTAGCATGTCTCATATCGAGTGGAGACGATGGCCATAGTGAGACCAAAGCAGACTGGTCCCCCAAAACTTTGTCAGACGTAGAGAGGATGGGAGAGGCTGAAACGTATGATTGGTTGCAGGAATTGGGTATGTCTAGAAGGCAGGACAAGAAGTAATGGATTGAAACTAATGGACAGAACCAGCCTAGAACTAAGGGGAAACTTCCTGACAATGAGAACAGTTCACCAGTGGAAGTTAGCACAAGTCCAAAAACTCAAAGACTAAACCTCTATAACCGACCCAGATTGGATCTTCTTGACCCACCAACCAAAATTCCTTTACAGAAGGGGTCTGCAGCAAGTCTTTCCCACTGGAGTGAGTGGGGTGGCCAATCCCATTGGGGTGAGATGGTTCCTCAGAGAACTTGGTCCCAGGCCCTACAGGACTTTAAAGATAAGGGCCAATACCTTGAATTGGACCTGGAAGAGAGCTGTCAACCAATGAAGCTCACACAAGAGGACTATTATATATGCCAACCTAAGGGCCTCCAGAATGGGTCTAGAACAACTCACCATGGCTAATTTGCCACAGCACAACCCTCTGTGGGACAATTCAATGCTGTATTCATTGTTTAATTCAGTTACTTTTCAATCAGAATAGAGCTGAAAGGGACCTTGGAGGTCTTCTAGTCTAGCCCTCTGCTCAACCCTAATCCTACACCATTTCAGATAAGTGATTGTCCAGTCTCTTCTTAAAAACCTTCAGTGATGGAGCACACATAATTTCTGGTGGCAAGCTGTTCCACTGGTCAATTGTCCTCACTGTTTCTCCTTAATTCCAGGTTCCTTTTCTTCTTGATTAGTTTCCATCCATTATTTCTGGTGCTTTGGAAAGTAAGTGTACCCCATCGTCTTTGTGACAGCCCCTCAAATACTGGAAGACTGCTATCATGTCTGCCCCAGTTCTTCCTTTCACTAGACTAGACATACCCAAATCCTGCAACCGTTCTTCATGTTTTAGCCTCCAGGCCTTTAATCATCTTAGTTGCTCTTCTTTGCCCTTTTTCCAAAGATTCAACATCTTTTTAGTGATGTGATGTCCAAAACTGGATGCAATATTCCAAGTGCAGTTTTACTAAGACTTTGTAAACTGGTAGTAATACTTCATGTGGTTTTGATTTTATGCATCTGTTTATACAACCAAGGATTGTATTAGCTTTTTTGGCTGCTGCTGAATACTGTTGGCTCATGTTTAAGTAATCGTCCACTAGGACTCCAAGGTCCCTCTCACAATTACTGTTTTTGAGCCAGGTTTTGCCTAATCTGTATGTGTACCTTTGGGTTTTTCTGCCCAGGTGTAAAACCTTGCTTTTCTCCACGTTAAATTTCATTTTGTTGGATACGGCCCATTGTTCAAGTCTGTCAAGATCTTTTTGGATCCTGAGCTTGTCTTCTGGGGTGTCGGCTGTTCCTGCCAGTTTAGTGTCATCTGCAAATTTGATGAGTTCCCCTTCTATTCCCTCATCTAAGTCATTTATAAAGATATTGAAGAGTACTGGGCCAAAGATGCTGAAATCTAAATATACTATGTCATTTTGTTACTATGTTAATTTAGTCGCTTTCTGAAAGAATGAAATAAGATTGGTTGGATATGATCTGTTTTTAACCAACCCGTGCTGGCTATTAGTTATAACATTATTTGTTTCTAAATGTTCGTAGATCTGTTTTTTGATCATCTTTTCCAGTATCTTCTCAAGTTTTCATGTTAGGCTGATCAGACTGTAGTTTCCTGAGCCTGCTCCCCCCCCCACCTTTTACATCGAACAGGGGTGAGCATGGGCAATGCCGATGCCCTCAGCCGTTGCCCGTTACCGGACAGGATAGAGGACCCCACACCCGGGATTCCAGTCCTGCTGATTGACGTCTTGGACTCAGGGCCCATCACTTCAGCAGAGGTAGCGAGAGCTTCAATCAGAGACCACGTGATTAGGAAAGTCACGAGTTGGATCACAAGGGGATGGCCGGAAAAGTCTGAGGGCGGGGAATTCAAACATTTTGCTAACAAAAAGGGCGAGCTGACAATGCAAGGGGGTTGTTTTTTGTGGGGTGATCGGGTTATTGTTCCCTTGTGCCTAAGGGAAAAAGTTTTAAAGCTATTGCATGAGGGGCACCCCGGGATTGTAAGGATGAAGGGGTTAGCTAGGAGTTACGTATGGTGGCCCCTAATGGATAAAGACATCACTGAGTGGGTGGGGAAGTGCCAACCCTGCCAAGAATCTAGACCAGACCCCCCCCCCACAGCACCGGTCAGGGAATGGGAACGGCCCCAGGGTCCCTGGTCCAGGATCCACATAGACTTCGCTGGCCCATTCCATGGGCAGGTATTTATGGTCATAGTGGATGCCTTCTTGAAATGGTTGGAGATCAGACTCATGAAAACCACTACCACCGATGCCGTCATTAGGGAGCTAAGGCAGTTGTTCGCCACCCATGGCCTACTGGACACCTTAGTCTCAGATAACGGGCCCCAGTTCACGGCCACGCAGTTTGAGGGGTACCTAGCAGAGTTGGGGATCAGACACATCCTCTCCGCCCCGTTTCATCCGGCTAGTAATGAATTGGCGGAGAGATTTGTGAGAACGGCTAAGGAAGCCATCTCACGCCTAGGCCCCGGGGACTGGCAGGAGAGGATAGATAAATTCTTAATGGCCCAACATGCCACACCATGCACCGCCACAGGCAGGAGCCCGGCGGAACTTCTGATGGGGAGGAACCTCCGAGGAGTCCTAGACAGACTACACCCCAGTTATTCCCCTGACAGTTTCAGAGGGGCAGAAAAAAGGCTGAGGGAGTTCACAATAGAGACGCCAGTCTTCGCTAGAAATTACGGGAATGGGCCCCTCTGGGAAACCGGGAAAATCACGGAGGTAACAGGGCCCAAGTCGTATAGGGTCGACATGGGAGATGGGAGGATTTGGTGCCAACACATTGACCAGCTACGGAAGCGTTGGGCCGCCGACACAGAAGACGCATTCGACGAACCGCTCCCTAGCTACCAACAGGACTCTCGAACTAACTCAAACCCGAGTCGAGCAGAGGACTTAGCTGACGGCCCCGAGATCCAGCGCAGCATCGCGGAAGATCAACCAGCCGCAGAAGTCACTGCCCACAACGAATTCTCAGAGGTTCCATTGGTGGAGCAGGGAGAAACAGGGAGTTCCTCTGACCTGCTCGATGCCACACCTCTGACTGAACTGCGCAGGTCAACTAGGGTGCGGACACGCCCTGGTCACCTGAGAGACTTTGTATGCTAATGTCCACCCAAGTGACTTCTGGGAGGGGAGGAGTGTTATGAATGTAGATTTTGGGTGGGCAGTTTGAATTAACTGACCATCAGCTGATTGGCTGACCACCACAGCTGCAAGGTATATAAAGGGAGCTGTTTCCCCTGGTCAGTTGCTGGGTTCTCACCTTACAATAAAGAGCTGTTGTCACTCACTGCCTGGCTTGCTGCGTCCTCATTCACCCAACTTAACAGCAACTAAGATGATTCAAGGCCTGGAGTCTAAAACATATGAAAAGCGCTTGCAGGATTTGGGTTTGCCCAGTCTAGAAAAAAGAAGGATTAGGGGGGACATGATGGCAGTATTCCACTATTTGATGGGCTGCCGCAGAGGAGTTAATTTATTTTCCAAAGCACCAGAGGTTAGGACAAGTTACAATCGATGGAAACTAATCAAGGAGAGAAACAACCTGGAATTAAGGAGAAACTTCCTAACAATTAACCAATGGAACAGCTTGCCGTCAGAAGTTGTGGGTGCTCCATCACTGGAGGTTTTTAAGAAGAAACTGGACAGTCACTTGTCTGAAATGGTATAGGATCTCCTGCTTGAGCAGAGGGTTGCACTAGAAGACCTCCAAGGTCCCTTTCAGTTCTATTCTGATTCTGATTCAAATTTCCCCAGCAGGAACTAAATAGAATGAATACAGAAAAGTTGCATTATTTTTTCTTTTTTTACTTGCCCCTTAATTTGCTAAATAAAACAGTGTCTTTCATCTCCGAAAAGGCAGGATGGAAAAGGTATTTGGAAGCTGAGGTCAAAGTCCGGAGTTCTTTCATGCCCCCACAGTGGCTGACTGGGGCAACTGTTTTTAAGAGGCAGCTTCACCGATTGGCATTTTTTTTCTCACTGAGTTCATCAAATAACAATTTTCTGCAACGTTCAGCAAAGAATTAGGTCATCCATTTGTCCTCAGGTTTCTTCTTGCAAATGCATCTTCCCAACGAGTTACAAGCTGCAGAAATCCAACACTTTAATTTAGTAGTACATCCACTTTGTAGTTTTGCACAGTGGTTTAGGTGAGTATCCTTTGGCTGATTCTTTGCCCAGTAGCTGAAAAGAAGAAACAACAATAAAGATAAGACAAAAATATTAGTTAAAAATATGAGAGAAAATCAAAAAAGGGAGATAATGGGGAAACTGGACAACCAAATTGTGAAGAAAGTGAAATATTTGGACATTCATTTGACATCGAGATGTGCAACACTCAAGGAAGGTAGTTATTATAAACTGAAAAAACAAATTGAAACAGACCTGGAGAAATGGAGAAACTTGCAACTATCATTAATGGGAAGATTAGCATTAATACAAATGAATGTATTACCAAAACTATTATTTCTATTTCAAACTATACCAATAAAACTGGAGAAAAAATATTTTGAAGAGTTGAAGAAAATAACGTGGAAATATGTGTGGCAAGGAAAGAGAGCAAGGATTAACATAAAAATGCTACAAGATGCAAGAATTAGAGGTGGGTTTGGCCTACAGAATTGGGAATTGTATTATCAAGCGGCAGCGTTAACATGGATTAAAGAATGGATTTTTTTAAGGAATGCAAGACTATTGACATTGGAGGGTCATGATTTACAACTGGGTTGGCATGCCTTTTTATGGTACGGGAAACAAAGGATACATGGATATTTCCAAGGACATTATGTAAGAAATGGCTTGTTATCAGTGTGGGAGAGAGTGAAAGAAAAACATTATTTGAATATTCCAATGTGGCTTTCTACAATAGAAGCGGTGACATATCCAAACATTGTGAACATGGGGAATATTGTTAGATATAAAGACATTTTGACAGATCGGGGGGAACTGAAACAAAAACAAGAACTAGAGAGTCAAGGGACTGAGATAGATTGGTATACAAGACTGCAAATACAATCAAGATATGAAGCAGATCATAGACAATATGGCTTTAACATGGGAAATCAGAACTGGATGATATATTGACAGGAACAGATGAGAAAATGATTAAGAAATTATATGATTATCTATTGCGGATTAGACTAGAAGATGAAGAAGTAAAAGAAACAATGATAGCATGGGCAAAGAATTTTGGATACACCATAGAACTGGAGAAATGACAACAACTATGGGAAAGAAACTATAAATTAACAATGGCAACAGCTTATAAAGAAAATTTGTATAAGATGTTTTATAGATGGCATATGCCACCAGAAAGATTAGCTATGATGTTTAAAGATAAATCAGCTAAGTGTTGGAAATGTCACCAATTGCCAGGGTCATATTATCATATGTGGTGGTCGTGTAAAGAAACAAAACATTATTGGATGAAAATACAGGCATGGTTAGAAGGAATGTTGCAGCAACATATAGAGTTAAAATCGGAGATATTCTTATGAGGAATTTTACCAGATAATTATAGTAAAGAAGATACATATTTGATTATTCATAAAAAGCGGCTAGAATTGTATTTGCACAAAAGAAATTTTAGAATGTGCAGAAATGAATAGATTAACATTGAGAATAAAAGATAAAGATGAGTCGATGTATTTCAGGACATGGGATAAATTTTATGATTGGTTAGAAAGGAAATATGAATAAGGGTATGGAGATAAAATAGAGAAAAAATGGGAGAAAATAATCAGAAAAATAGAAACCCAAAGATGATGCCTACGTAAAAGGAGAAAGGGGGGAGGGGTAAAAGGGGAAAAAGTGAGAATATTATAAAAATGTACACAAATGATGAAATAGATATAATTATTAATTGAATAAGAAATTGAAATGAGAATAGAGATAAATAGGAAATCAGGGCTGCTCGAATGCCATTTTAGACTGAACTGAAAAGGGAAACAACAAGAAAAGTTTAGTCTATTCACCTTCTTCCCTTACCTCAATGAATATTTATAACAGCTCCAAATGTTGGTCTGAGGTTGATTTGGCAGAGACATAGGGATGGAGTTGGGGACACCATTGAGTGCAAATAGATAAAGAGTTGAACCCCATTTGTTGTGTCATCTCTAGGTCCAACACAATGCTAAAGATAAGAAGATTTTAAATCTCCATCCCAAGCCAAGGGGATCACCCTGTGGAAGCCTCATGCCTGGAGACTGTTAGGATCCTGACGGGATAAACATATGGAGGGTGAAGCCAAGCAAGATGGCTTCCTTCATTTGAGATGGCCAACCAGGTCCAGGGCTGTCTTCTGACTGGGAGACAAAGCTACCTAGCGAACCGTTCCATCACTTGGCTGCTTCTGGACTTGTGGGTGTTACTGGATGGGGTGCACACTACTTATGGAGGACAAACACTTGGGAACGGAAACTTAGGGCCACACCACCACTTTTATGTCCTTCCTTGGCCAGCTCATTATACTGGCACGGTATCTGACGATTGGTGTTGATGGCATGGATCTTGTTCATCCCCTTGAGCTGCCTCTTCAGGATCTTTGTGGTACTTGGATGTTGCTGTTTTCATCCCCTCCTCCTTGTGGTCCCTGTGTGACTGAGGGATATAACTTGTAACTGCTCCATATGTTTATTGTGTGACCTGCTGGTAATTCCATCCCATGAATATTTATGTTTGTTTGTTTGTTTGTTGTACTTATTTGCCTCTCATGTCATCTTGAGGTGATTCTGGGCGACTTATAAACATTAACTATTTTCCCTCCCTGGACTATCATGTGACCACACTTCTCCAGTCCAAGATAGTTATAGATGATAGATAAATGTGCCATTATGTGAGGGTCATTACAAATTGCTGCAGATGGACTGGGGTATAGAACCACTCTCTCAGTATAGATAGATGATAGATAGATGTGTGTATTTGGGCAGGTGTATGTATGTGAGTCTGTGTATCTAACTATCATTAGATTCTCAATTCTATACCCCAGTCCATCTGCAGCAATTTGTAATGACCCCCACATGTGGTGACACAAGTGACACACGTGTGGTGACATCATACAGTTACCATTATATCCTTATGCCACCTCTCTCACATCTGAGGATATTTCAGACTAAATGAAACAAACTTGAATTAGAGACTTACTACTTAAAGGCTTTAACATGAGTAATAGTCCACCTCCATTCCCGCGATTCATAAGTCAATCCAATGTAGTAATCACCATGTTTTCTTCTAATTGCTGATTCTAAGAATATCTAAAAGAAAAAATCCAGACTTCGGAATCAGAGCCTCCCCAGATGAATCAGTGGAGGAATATGGAGAAGCCGTAGCAATGCAACCCATACGGTACAACCGCAAAGAGTGGGGCAGATCAAGTTCCTGAAACAATGGGACATCCAGGAGGAACCAAGGAGGCGTTTGGGTGAATTAGCAGGGCCCTGGAAGCCATGATCAAACCTAGTCTATGGGCCAGTCCACATTTGCACCTAACCATGGTGAGAGATGAACAGGGAGCCGCTTTGTTTCACTGTTCGCCGAGTCCTTATCTCAGCTCTTCCTAAACCCGTAAGTCTTCCCTCATCCCTCGCTCTGGCCTTAGTTTGTCCCCATAAATTCAGCAACCATCTTCAGTGCTTCCACGATGAACACAATCTGATGCAAACTCAGGTCACTCCCACAATGGAGGACAAAGTCTCTCGGCCACCTCAGGTTGGTGAGGAGGACATATCTGCTCACCTTCTTTCCTTCTTCTGAGCAGATGCTCACTGTTTTGGGGGCTTCCAGGAGCCCTGCAAGACTATTGGCTAGCAGAAATGGCCATCTCTCTCAACACTGGCAGCCGTTCCCACCTCCGCAACCACTGTACGGTAGCTGTGGTTGCAGCTGTCTTCTTTCAAGACTCAGCACAACTCCGGGCTTTCCAAAGAGCTGCACTTGGGGGAAAAACCCTACCTTCTCCCTCAAAGCTGGTCCTTCACCCAGCCCAACAGATTACTGTGAGCTACCAGGATTCGGGGAGAGCCAGGCTCTGCCACACCATTCCACAGTTGTGCCCAAAAGCTCCATGGCAGGTTGAAGGGAGCTGCCAAGCTTTGAGAGGGCAGGTGAAGCTTGGAAAGATCCTGAACCCCACGCTGAAAACGAACTCTCTGCAGCTATGTTGAGCACCCAGGTAGAGCGGCTGAGTTTTGGCACCCACGGGTGCTTTCCTGCTTTAATCCCCACCGTCAAACTGTGGGTTCAAGCCTGCCACCCCCCACCCCACCCAAGCCCCATCTGAGCCCCCTCCTGCACCCCTGGCCTGAACGCATGAGGACAGCTTTCAACCAGATGTCTTGCTATCCAGGGATTATCCAGAGACGGTTGATGCAGGAGAGGGATCAGCAATGGGCACAGCCAGTTTTAGGCTGGTGTCCTTTTCTGCCAGATCCAGGCCAGGCTGACAGTGGGGACAGACCATAAGACGAAGGATACAACAACCAAACTCAGTCAACGACCACGTCATTCCATCAGAAAAGGGAGAAGGGAAGGCGCTTACCTCATCCTCGTCATCTTGAATATCAGTCATGAAAGCTTTAGATTCACTGCATAGTTTATTTGAGTCCACAAAGTTTAATAATTCAGGATTAAGTAAATAAAGGTGGCTTTTATAGGCAATCCAGTTTTCATTCAGTTTGTAATGAATGTCAGCTTTGAGACAAATTAGGATGGGGCCGTGAAAAGGGAAAGAAGAAAGAAAAATTAGAAGGAGCAGTTAGGCAAATACTTTTATCCATTAAAAAAAAACACATTTTAAGAAAAAATAGCAAAGAACTCTGGGGACCTTGCTGCTCTCTGAGCTGAGCTGCTTTCCTGAGGACATTTATTTACCCAACTAGGTAACATCATCAGCACTAGAAGGGAGGGGGGTTTGCTCTCACCCCACTGAAATCGGCGCAATCCCAATCGTGCTGACAGAGGAGACATGCTGAGGGTCCCATCAGCCCAATTATTCCGGGTGGGGTCCAGGAGGAGAACCTTCTCTGCTGTGGCTCCTGACTCTGGAACAGCTCCTCCCCCCGATCTGAGGTCGAGCCCCAACCCTCCTATCTTTTTGTAAGGGCCTAAAGACCTGACTCTGATAGTTGGCTTTGTGCCCCAACGGGGGAACATCACAATGGAGGTGGTTGATTGAGTAACAAGATCCTACCTTCCCCCCCTCCGCCCCCCCTCCTCATGCGTCCTTAGATTTTAATGTTTGATTTTAATTGTTTATGTATTAACAGAATAGCAGAGTTGGAAGGGAGCTTGGAGGTCTTCCAGCCCAATCTGTTGCTCGAGCAAGAGACCCTATCCCATGTCAGACAAAGGGTTGTCCGGTTCCTTAATTGTATATGTATAGATGTAGTTTTATGACTGTAAGCTGTATGATAAGATATGCAGCCCATACATTTTATAAATAAATCGATATTCGAATTAAAACCAAAAATGATAAAACAATGAGAAACGCGATAGAAATAAGTGGCTGGAAAGTGCATACTCAGGATTTGCATGAGTAAAACAGCAATACGTGAAACAGTAGAACTGTTAACTGGTAGTATCCAGAAAACATGAACGGAAGGGAAGACCCTGGAACACACCCTGAATGTGGACAGTATAAAGAATTGGCCCAATATCCAGTTGGCTTGCTTCTAAAGGGCTGAGCAAAGCAAACCAAACCAAACGGATACCCCGTTGGCATCTCAGCCTGGCAAATGGAAGAATGAGACTTCCGATCCCTATGAAAAGGGAGCTATCAAGAGAGCAGGGAGAAATCGCTTGCTTTAGAGAACACCATTTGACTTAATGAATTTGAATTGCAAAAGGTTCTGAGTGACAAGGAAGCGGAATCCTTGGTGCTCCCTGACTGCTTGTTTGACTGCAGATCTTTCACCGCCCAACTAGGTGCACCCTGAGCATCTCCAGTGCACAGTGCATCCGGGATAAGCAGGGATTAACACCAGACAAATAACCAAGCAGGAAACAATAGCCTAAGCCACACCCCACATCAATGACAGGGCAGGCTACTGCACATAAACGGGGAGCAAACCCCACTAGCACTAAAGATGTTACCTAGCCAGGTAACGAAACCTGTGCAAGAAAGTAAGTTCAGAGAGCCCCAAGGACTCTACAGCTCTGAACCACAGAGATTGTCTTCTGTTGAGATGATTAGAGTCTGAGCCTCGGTGACATTTTCTAAAGATTGCCAGTTTCATAGCTAGACCATGAGTGTGGGCTCCCTCCATCCAGGAGAATGCTAGGGTGGAATAGGGCTCTAGTTTTTGCTCATTGCCCAAGTCAATGTTTCAGGGAGCCCAAGAAAGCAACATCTGTGTCAGGACTGCCATCCTGCTCAACCAGGCGTTTCCTGCTATCAGACAGCCATACTCAACTGAGGGGGCAGGTGGGGGAGATCAGCGGAGTGCAATAAAGGGAGGGGTTAGCACGAGCAAACAAAACTATGCATCGTACCGTCCTGTGAGAACCGCTGGCCACTCCAAGGTCACACAAAGGAATGCAGAACCATCCTGCCCGCAAAGACAGGGACTTTTACCCAAACTATTTGTTAGCACCGAATTGGATACTTGTTGGTAACCAGGGGTGGGGATGGATGGGAACAAGGGAACCATATGCCTTGGGCCAGAAAACCCCGGATCCAGCTCTGCTTCGGCTGTCACCACTTGGCTTCAGTAAAGCGAACTTTTGGCTAATCATGAGCCTGAGAGTCTTTCTTTTCTAACTGACCAAGTTGGGATAGCTGACAATCTGCCCAAGACAATACTTAAAAAACAGCAGGTGCACCGCCCCAACCGGCAGGACTGATGGATGGTGCCTAGAAAATTGCCAAAAAACCCACCAAACCCTGACACCAAACCTGGAGAAAGCTATCCCTCTATCCGGATTCTTATTAATCTCAATCTATGAGAAATTTACCAATCTCTGCTTGAATTTCTTTGATCTTTTCAGCCCATGGAAGCAACTGTCTTGACACCTTCTCAGCTTCCAGGATTATTGCCGTATCTGAAACACATGTAGCAAGAACATTTCTTCAAGTCTGAAGCTGCCTCCTGGTCTATGGAAAGCCCACTTCCTTCCATGCATGAAGGTATCTGTCGGTCTCTGCAGCTAGGAAGTGTTTTCCTTCCCTCTTCCCAGGATGGATCCCATTACGACTGTCCTACTGTCCCCATTTATTTGTACTCATTTCCTATGTTCATGTCCATGTTTATACTTGTACCTGTTATCTTGTACCTGTTTGACAAACTAAATAACTAAATAGAAATAAACAAATAAAATAAACAAATAAACCATGGCCAGATTGGCCTTTCAGAACCATGACCTAAATTTTGTGCCTTGCGGACTGGCATCGGGTTGGTGGAGAGGCTGGAGGTTAGCAATGAATGAATGGCTCTCCTCCCCTGTTCACCCTTGGATTGATTAGATTTTGTTTCCCGACTGTCAGTAGATTGCCAATCAACTTATTTACTGTCTGGAAGGAGCTGGGCTTTTTAATAGCTCCTGATTCTTCTGCAGAACCAGTGAGAGCAGATTAAAGCAGATTAAGTAGCTCCTCAAGGACATTGTGACAAAGTCCACTTAGAGTTTCCCATGGGGAATTTTGATAGCTTCTTGCCCCCCCTCCCGCTGTCTTTCTTAGTTTGTTCTGACATCATCCTGGGACTGAAAGTGTAGATAAGCAGCAGATGGATGCGAATGCTCCTTCCATTCCGATGTAACCCACCAATCTAGCTAGAGGAAGGAAAATGGGCTCAGTGGCCTTGGGGACAGGAATGCATTTGCACGTTCAGAGTGGAACTCTTTACTTACCATTAAGGGTACCATATTCAGCATTCTGTGCAATCATATATTGCCTAAGTTGTGCCACTGCTTTCCGAAGTGGTTCCCGTTTTGCCCTTTCAAGAGTACCTGAAGGAGAGGTTTAATTATCATATAATAATGTTGGATTGAGACCCATTTGGTGTTGGGCTCAAGGCACCAGGCTAGAAAGAAGTCTTGGATTCAAAAGTCACACAGGACCGTGACATGCTCATTTTCAAGAACTTTGTCAACTTGCTATTCCCAGTGATTTTTACTATATTAATCAGTATTCAGTTGTGGGGGGGATAATATATTTATGAGTGTTGGTTTATTTTTTCTTTTGAATGCATCTTTGCAGTTGCAGGCTAACCTGGCTCTTTGCCAACCATTGTCTGGCTTTGGATTCTCCCTCTGTCTCCCAAACTCATTCCCACACACCATTACAGACCCTCAGAACTGATTAATTAGTTGGATAAAATTAAAAACTTACATAAACTGATATACCAAAGGGTGTACAAAAACAGAGAGAAGAGCATGACAACGCCAAGTGTTACACAATTGTAGCCTGAGAGACATTCTTGAAGTTTGCTTGGAGGGCCTGTGTTTAGAAAGGAAGCCTTGATTAGAAATGATCTTAAGAGGTAATAATATGGGTCACACTATCTTCATGATGCATTTTCACCTGCTGTGGGACCTGAACCTGCAACTGCTCCAGAGCCGGGCCCTCAACAAGCAAACCTGTTCATGAAGAAGCCTTCATGAAATGCTCACCTTTGGAGGAGGTGTTAAACCTGCCCTGTATTCTATGGTGGCCTTAGGTTATAGAAACAACATCCATGCCAGGCCTCCCTGATAAAGTAGGGAGCAGAGTTTGGACACACCACTGAAGGATCAAGGCTGAGAAGGAACCGATAGATTTGGGCCTTGGACCCAACTGCTCCTTGACTCTCTTGGGATGGAATAACCTCACGTGCCCTTCCCTTCCCTCCTCTCCCCCTCCTCTCCTCTCCCCCCTTCCCTTCCCTTCTCCCAGGGAGTTTCCAAGGCCGAGGATGGGCTTCAACCTGGATCTCTCCAATACTAGGTCACCCTCTCACACTCTGTGCTGTCACTGTGCCCAACAGCCCAAAGCAGCAACATAGCTCCACTACTTTGCTCACCCTCAGCAGACCAATGGCTGGCCTTGGCCAACAAAAGTTCTTAGGCATTCCAGACACCCACCGTAGAAAGACAGTTAACCATAGCCAAATTGGCAAGGGGGCTTCTTCCCTTATGAGACAATCCTTCTGTTCCTCCGTGTTCTGTTTCTCCGTGAACATCCCCAGTATTTGCTCCTTGGCTTCCCTCAGCTCCCCCCTGTTACTGGGGGCCTCCAAGGTTTTAGTGGGCCATGCTGCGTGTCCTCCTCTGGGCAGACCCTCCACCCCGTGCTTCCTCTGACAACATCTCAGGCTTAGCAGGGGGTCTCCATTCCTCCTCTGCCTGGAGAGGGTCCGGAGCCTCCCTCCCTTCCCTCGGACCTCTCCTCTCTCGGAAGGGCCTCCCTCCCACTGCTTGGCACGCATCCCCACAACCATCCCGGTGATGGAAGGCTGTGGGGAGGGTGAATCTGCATCAGACCTGCAAACAAGCCCAAAGTGCCAATGCAGCCAATTCCAATTTCCTTGGCAGCTTAAGCATTATGTGCAGCCTTCTGCAGATAAGTCATTTTAAAATATCCTTCAGATAAACACATGTCCAGCATCTGACAAAATGAAAACTAAAAATAAATTAAAACTATAAAAATAATTACAAAATAATAAATAAAATTTTAAAAACACAACAAACAAGCAAATGCAAAGGAGAGACTTGATGGATCAACAGGTCTTTTTCTGATGTCACTTTTCTATATTTCTTTACAAACAGGTTGGGCTCCCAAACCTGATTTATTACACAGATTTTCTGATGCCTACTTACGTTCTGGTTGTTTTGCTGGAGCTGGACCTAGAGAAAGAGAGAAAACCAATTCACCTCCAATATGTCAAATGGAATCAGCCCCAGGCTAATGCATGACCCAAGAATCCTATCCCCAGGAGCCCAATTTCTGCCTAAAGGTTCATCAAGCAGGCGGCCGTAACGAGGAAGCTTGTTTTTACCGGGTGAGAAGCTGCAGGAATTGCATTCCAAGCAACAATAGAATCCTTTGCTCAGCTGCCTTGTTACAAAAGGAAAACTTGAGAATAGAAAAGTACTTTTTCATTTGCTCAAACATTTATCTCACTTCCCCCCAGCCTCTTTACAAATCAGATAGACTGATAAATACTTTTCTACGATTCAGATCCGTTAGATTTCCCACCCCTCCAGCCCAAAGGCTAGAAGAATCACTGCCATTCTGTGGTTCAGGGAAAGCAATCCCACCCCTCCTTCCCCTGCAATGAACATGGTGGCTATCTTCAGCATTAAGATCTTTTCTTCAGCAAAATTCTGTGACACAGAACTTGTATTTTCTGTTTCTGCAATTGTTTTACTTAACTTACAAGAAACTGCTGGCTGAGATCGTCTGCTGGTTTGAGTCAGATAGGAGAGAATATTCGTAGCTCAGAGTTGAAATGAGTGGTCCTTGGTGCTCCCTGAGCTTCTTTGTTTTCTTGGAGACATTTCATTACCCAATTAGGTAACAGCATTAGTGCTAGAAGGGAGAGGAGGAGGAGGAGGAGGAAAGAGGAGGGTGGGATCCTTGGAGCTCTCTGAGCTTGGTTGTGTTCTTGCAGACATTCCATTACCCTACTAGGTAAGAGTGAACTTCTTGGGTAATGAAACATCTGCAAGAAAACAGCCAAGCTCCGAGAACACCAAGGACCACAGAGTTTGGGGTGAGAATATCATCAATATGCTGATGACATCAATTATTCTTCTGGACCCCAGGAAGATCAAGTGACAGTGTCAAAGTCCTGATCCGGTGCCAGGAAACTGTGTGGGCCTAGATGGAGGTGAACAGATTCAGGCTTAATCCTGGCATGATTATGTTTATTTGGACTATGGCCATGTTGCAGGAAGATTCCAGCGTTGGTCTTAAGACGGCTTGCACCTATTTATTTATTTAAATTTATATGCCACCCATCTCACTAGCCAAAACAACTTGCTATCCATTGTGCCCAGTCTGGGGTTTCTCTTGGCGTCACATCTCCTGCTTGAACTCTCTCTGGAAGCAACCTGGCAACCAGCACAGCTTGCAAAGTAGGGCTGTTATATGGGCATCCTGAGGCATACCCATCACTGCCTGTGCTGCTCTCTTCTGGACTACAGGAAGCTTCCAGACCAGCACCAAGTAGAGCATCTTGCAGTAATCAAGCCATGAGTGTCCAGGGAATGAGTAACTTTCTGAAGGATCTTCTGATCTAGGAAAGGGCACAATTGGTGCACCAGATGGAACTGGGCAAGACTTCCTGGCTACAGCTGTCACCTGTTCACCAAGCAGCAGCTGTGAGTCCTGGAAGACCCCCAGATCTTTCATTCACATTTCATTCTGGGTTCTTCATTCCAGTTGCAGCCTCCATTGTCGCCACACAAGGTGGATCCTTGCAAGTCGGCAAATGGTCTCCAGGATCCTCCCAAGAAGGAAGTCTACAGGTAGGGCACTGACATTCTCCTACATGGTCTCCTGCTTGAACAGGGAGTTGGACTAGAAGACCTCCAAGGTCCCATCCAGTGACGATGATGATGATGACGACATATTTTGAGGAGAAGATGGCAGAAAAGATAGCTTACCTTTTGCTGGTGGTGGTTTGGGAGCCATTTTACCTCATCGGTGCATGTAACATCTCATCCCAATGCACACAGCTGGAGAATGGAGCAGATTATGAGAATTAATGTAAGTGGAAATGCAAACATTTTGGTTAAAAAGAGAAAGTGGTCAGCAAAATGGAGACAGCTTTAGAATTAACTAATATCTCCTTTCCTGGATTTTATGTCCTTCTAGTGGACAATCACTTAAACATGAGCCAGCAATGTGCGGCACCAGCCAAAAAAGCCAATGCAATCCTACCTTGTAATAACAGTGGGATAGAATCAAGATCACATGAAGTGATAGTTCCGCTTTATAAGGCCTTGGTAAGACCACACTTGGAATATGGCATCCAGCTTTGGTTGCCACAATATAAAAAAGATTATGATTAGGGGGCTGGAGGCTAAAACAGATGAAGGTCAGTTGCAGGAACTGGAACAGGAACTTTTCATTAGACTGGACTATGTCTAGTCTAATGAAAAGAAGGACTAGGGATGATACGATAGCAGTCTTTCAATATTTGAGGGACTGCTACAAAAAAGAGGGGGTCAACCTATTCTCCAAAGCCCCTGAAGGCAGAACAAGAAGCAACGGATGGAAACTAACCAAGGAGAGAGCCAACATAGAACTAAGGAGAAATTTCTTGACCATACATTTAACCAGTGGAACAGCTTGCGTCCAGAAGTTGTGGATGCTCCATCACTGGAGGTTTTTAAGAAGAGATTGAACAACCATTTGTCTGATATGGTATAGGGCTTCCTGCTTGAACAGTCGGTTGGACTAGAAGACTTCCAAGGTCCCTTCCAACTCTGTTATTCTGTATTCTGTTACATCTTTAGGAGAAAATGTGGAATAGATTTTTGGGCCTTTCCTTAGTGAGACAGGAGGGTCTTATACTATAAATAATATTAATCTATGTATTGTATTATTCACAGTATTATGTTGCTCTCAGAAGTGTTGACGTGGGATAAGAAGTTATGTTGCAAACCTCAGGAAAGTACAAGGAACAGAAGGAACTTGTTAAATGTACTGATGAGCTTAATGACTTATGTTCTATATCATTCCTGTAACGAACTTATATTAAGAAACACATTACCAGAAGTGTTCACGGAAAGTAACAGACGGTGTAAGATAGTACCCATATATGGAAATAGAGTCAGAAGCGTAACGCCTCTGGCGTGGCTAGAATTGCAAAATGTATAAAAAGTACACCTTGGGCGTAGCCCAGGGCTCGGAATCTGACATGTGAATGCTCCGAACCTTTGCTAGCAAATAAACCTGAGTTCTCCAACTTCTGTGGTCTTGTCTCCTGCATTTGGGAAAGTGGATTTTCCCATTTCATTTCAAGACTTGGTGATAATCTGGCATCCCATTCCTCATTTCCTTTCTGGCCAAGTTACCCTCTCAAATGTAATATAGAAGGACTCTATGTCCTCCCCTGGAGTCAGTTTAGGGTGTTTAATATTCATTGTAGGATCACAGCTCGCTCAAATGCAGCCCAGAAATAAAAGGTTGGATTGCACTGGATTGCACAGCAATGAACATGCGCCAAATATGGAACAGCAAGGACATCAGCCTGGCAACCAAGCGTAAGTTAGTCCACCCTATCGTGTTCCCCATAGTTACCCATGGTTGTGAAAGTTGATCCTTAAAAAAGCAAGACGGGAAGAAAATAGACTCGTTTGAGTTGTGGTGCTGGAGAAGGCGCCTGCGTATTCCTTGGGCAGCAAAGGAGACTAACAAGCAAGCCCCGGAGTGCATAACAGCAGCATGTCACTGGAAGGGAAAATCAAAAACTGTGTCTCCCTTACTTTGGCCACGTCATGTGGAGGAATTCACTGGAGAAGGCAATTATCTTTGGAAGAGTTAGCGCTTAGGAAACTAGGCCGTCAAAGAACACAGTGGCTGGACACCCTCAAAGCTGACCCCAGCCAGAGCAGAGGATGACCTGAAGAAGCAACGCAAGATCAGAAAAGGTGGGGGGACCACCTGGCCCATAGAATCGCCAAGAGTTGGACACAACTACAGGCGTTCCTGGGACTGTTAAATTTCTACGCGATTTTCCTAAAAGACAAGGCAACAGTGGCTGAACCCCTGCACAGACTGTTAGCCAAGAAGTCCACCTGGAAATGGGGGAAGGCCGAGGACACTGCATTCGCAAACATTAAGAAACTGCTGTCAGCTGAGTGTTTTTTGATACAATACAACTCTACGCTTCCCCTTGTTTTAGCTTGTGATGCGTCCCCATTAGGCGTGGGAGCCATCCTGAGCCATAGACTCCCTAATGGCCTAGAGGCACCCATCGCCTACTACTCCCGAACTCTGTCAAGCGCCGAGAGAAATTACAGCCAGCTTGACAAGGAGGCCCTCGCCGCCGTCTCGGGAGTAAAAAAGTTCCACGAGTATCTATTCGGGAGGGACTTCGACCTGATCACCGACCATCGCGCGCTCCTGGGTCTCATCGCAGGAGACCAACCAACACCGGCAGCCCTATCGCCCAGGATGACACGCTGGGCCATCTTCCTCGCAGCATACTCTTATCGCCTGGTACATCGACCAGGGGCGGACATGGGCAACACCGACACACTCAGCCGATGCCCACTACCAGACAAACTGGAAGACCCCACACCCGGCATCCCCATTCTGTTGATAGGTGTATTGGACTCGGGGCCCATTACATCAGCAGAAGTAGCGAGAGCCTCAATCAAGAACCACGTGATCCGGTTGGTCGCAAGTTGGGTGACGAGGGGGTGGCCAGAGAAGACTGGGAGTGGGGAATTTAAACAGTATGCGAGCAAACGGGATGAGCTAACGATGCAAGGGGGGTGTCTGTTATGGGGCGATCGGGTTATTGTTCCCTTGTGCCTAAGGGAAAAAGTCTTAACTCTATTGCATGAGGGATACCCTGGGATTGTTCGGACGAAGGGACTAGCCCGGAGCTATGTCTGGTGGCCCAACATGGACGTAGACATTACCGAGTGAATGGGGAGATGCCAACCCTGCCAAGAGTCTTGGCCAGATCCACCGACAGCACCGGTGAGGGAGTGGGAAAGACCCAAGGGACCCTGGTCCAGGATCCACATAGATTTCGCTGGGCCATTTCACGGACAGACCTTTATGGTCATAGTGGACGCATTTTCAAAGTGGCTAAAGATTAAGCTTATGAGGGCCACTACCACCGACGCGGTTATCAGGGAACTGAGACAGTTGTTCGCCACCCATGGGTTACCGAACATCCTAGTTTCAGACAACAGGCCCCAATTCACAGCCACACAATTCGAGGGGTACTTAGTGGACCTGGGGGTCAGACACGTCCTCTCGGCCCCATTCCATTCGGCTAGTAATGGTCAGGCTGAGAGATTTGTAAGAACAGCCAAGGAGGCCCTCTCACGCCTAGGCCCCGGGACTGGCAGGAAAGAATAGATCGATTTCTAACAGCCCAGCACTCTACACCTTGTACTGCCACAGGCCGAAGCCAAGCAGAACTGTTAATGGGATGGAAGCTACGAGGGGTATTAGATAGGCTGAATCCCAACTACTCCCCCAAGGTTTTCAAGGGGGGGGGGGAGAGGAAGCTCAGGGAGTTCACCATAGGGACTCCAGTCCACGCCAGGAACTATGGGAAAGGCCCACTCTGGGAAGCAGGAACAATTACAGAAATCACGGGGCCCAAATCATACAGGGTAGACATGGGGGACAGGAGAGTTTGGCGCAGGCACATAGATCAGCTGAGGAGACGAGTAGCCACAGACGCTGAGGAAAACTTCAATGAACCACTCCCTGACTACCAACCAGAACCACAAACTACATCAAGCCCGAGTGCAGCGGAGGACTTAGATGGCAATCCTGACGTCCAGCGCTGCCCCATCGAGGAGTTCCGACCGATCGAAGAAGTCGCCACCCACAAAGAGATCTCGGAGGTTCCATTGGCGGAGCAGGGAGAAACAGGGAGTCCCTCCGACCTGCTCGACACCTCCCCTCCAACTGAACTGCGCAGAGACTTTGTATGCAAATAGTAACCCAAAGTGACTTTTGAGAGGGGAGGAGTGTTATGTAAATAGGTTTTCTTGGCGGGAAGTTTAAACTAACTGACCATCAGCTGATTGGCTGACCATCACAGCTGCAAGGTATATAAAGGGAGCTGTTTCCCTAGGTCAGTTGCTGGGTTCTCACCCTACAATAAAGAGATGTTGTCACTCACTGCCTGGTTTGCTGCGTCCTCATTCACCCAACGTAACACAGAGAATCATTAAAACTGCCCAGAATATCATCGGGCTCCAGCTACCAGCCCTGGACAACATCTTCGAATCTCGCTGTTTGAGGAAGTTGCATAACATTCTCAGAGACTCTTCCCATCCTGCTTACAATCTTTTTGGACTGTTGCCTTCTGGCAGAAGATACAGAACAATTAAAACTTGGACCACACATTTTCTGAATAGTTTTTATCCCAGAGCTATAATTGCACTCAACAATGAACTAAAGGGCCACCATCAATGAGCTGTTGGACAGCATTACTTGGTCTGTTGTGTGGATGTTTGGGTCGTTTAGGGGTGGGGAATTTGTGGTGTGTGTGTGTTGGGGATTGTTATGTGTGTTGGATCTGGTCTTTGGGTGTTAAGTGAATTTCATTGTAAGGGTATACCATGTATACAGGTACAATGACAATAAAGTTATATTATTATTATTATTATTATTATTATTATTATTATTATTATTATTATTATTATTTACTTTATTCATTAAACATGAAACTCAAGTCAACTGAACATTCAAAAATGCATCACAAATACCATTGACTGGTGCTAATGGTTGATACGGGTTGCTGTCAGCGTCCTAGATATCAATCAAGTATCTTCTTAAAATATACGATTTATTATTATTATTATTATTATTATTATTATTATTATTATTATTTACTTTATTCATTAAACATGAAACTCAAGTCAACTGAACATTCAAAAATGCATCACAAATACCATTGACTGGTGCTAATGGTTGATACGGGTTGCTGCCAGCGTCCTAGATATCAATCAAGTACCTTCTTAAAATATACGATTTATTATTATTATTATTATTATTATTATTATTATTATTATTATTATTATTTACTTTATTCATTAAACATGAAACTCAAGTCAACTGAACATTCAAAAATGCATCACAAATACCATTGACTGGTGCTAAATGGTTGATACGGGTTGCTGCCAGCGTCCTAGGGATCAACCAAGTACCTTCTTAAGATGTACAATGTTCCAAGTAGCGCAGTGTTTTTGCAGTTCCGCTGGGGTTATTGCAGGAAGCTGCAATTTGTTGATGTATCTTATAAAATTCTTGGACATGGTACCAAGAGCCCCAATGACAATGGGTATCACTGTTACGATATTAATGGATAATACAATTGTAGTGATACAATGGGTATCCCTGTTGTTGTTGTTGTTATTGTTATTAATTATTATTATTATTGGAATGGGTTACCTACCCAAACTCTGGACTCTTGGTCTATTACCAGAATTAAACTGTGAGTAGGAGCTCCACCGGACTTACTCTTTGTGTCTTCAGCTGGATTTTCCTTCTGACAGTTTTTGACAGTTTGTTCCCTTATGAGGTAGAATATTCAAATCCTGCCTCTCTCCCATTGGCTGGCTGATGGGCCCAATCAACATTCAGCATTCAGCCTCCAGTTTCCTTCTTTGACCCCCCCCCGGAAACCTGCATATTAATTTGCGAACGTCAGAATTTCAGCTGAGCAGCCACGTGCTCCCAGGCCGGCGGGTGGGCGGGGGGTGAGGCGATTTCCAAGAGTCGTGCTTAGTGCCAGGTCCCTGCGCGCTTTCCATTCATCCTGGGTGAAGCAGAAGAGAAGCAGAGAGGGGCGGCACTCTCCCCTGCCGTCTGGACTCGCCCAGAAGGGGCGCTTCTCTGGTCCCGGGCTGGATAAGGGGCCTGAGGCAGAGGGGAGGGTGAGCGGGCGAGCCCCATGGGACTAAGCACGACTCTGGGAAGCAATGCGTAATTACGCAGCAGGGGCAGCCTCTCCTGCTGGGACCCTTCGGCTCATCCCCCAGCAGTCCCTGGCCAATCTTCGAGCTCTTTCCTGGGCCGGCTCTTCACCCACCGCTCTCCTGCCCTATAAGGAGAGCTTGGCAGCCTGCCTCCTTTCGCTCCCGGGCCCGGCGGTAGCAGCCGCTCCGAACGAGCCTCTTCTCTTCCTCTGCTTTCCTTCTCCTCCCTCTGACAGCTGCACGGTGGGAGGGCTGCATCAGCGAGTCATGCAACGCTGGGAGCCGAACGCAGTTCAGCCGCCAGGAGAGGTGCCCGCCGGCCAGGTCCAATGGCAGCTGCGCAGGGACTCGTGCGTTGGGCGGCTGTGGTGTCCCCCTCCCGCCTCTTCTTCTTTTTTTTTATTTTTTTTTTATTGAAAAGTTTTACAAAAAGTTTACATATTTCCCCCCACCCCTTCCCTACCTCAACCTCCCCCCTCCCCCCCTCCCCTTCCCAGAACAAATTACAGGGTATAAACTTCAACAATCATAATCAATCCTAGTCTAAACAACTATGACATTCCACATCTCTTGTTTCTTCAATTCCCTAATTACCCGCCTAGCTTTATTACTTAAAGACACACTAAATATCTATATAATCATTCATAACCTATCTGCAATTTCTTATTCCGATATTTATTTTGAATAAATATCCTTCTCTAGGCGCTGCGGAGGCGCTTTAAGAACCTGCTCGGCAAGAGGGGCCGGAAGAGAGCAGGTGGGCTGCTGCGCCTGCAAAGAGGCACATCTGTCTGGGGGTTTTTGGCTTTTGCGGCAGAGAACCAAAAGGAAGCCGCCTATTATTCGAAACACACGGAAGAGCAAGTAACGTCCCGTGGAAAGGACTCAGAAAAGTGGGAATTCTAGAATACAGCAGTCCTTGATCGCTGAGGCGCCTGGATTCCCAGTGACAGGATGGGGTCCTGCAGGCACGTAGCTTGGCCCCCTGTTTAGTAGCTCCGGCGGCTACAACACAAACGTTCATTCTCCGGCCGTTTTTGAGATTACAGGTTGCAATGGACAGCAAAGCTAGGGTTGAGCCCAGCCGCTTCTCTCCGCCAAACCTTTAGTAGTTCGGAGAACCGGTAATAAAATTGGCTGGCCATGCTCACGAGCCAGTCCCCAGCCCAGTCGCCGCTCGCTTACCCTGCCCACCCCGTCAGAGGCTTTTTTTTTTTTTTTTTACTTTTAAAAGCATTTCTTTCTGCAACCTCTTCCGCCGAAGAGGTTGTAGGAAAAAAAAAATGCCTTCAAAAGCCTCTGGCGATCCCAGCTGTCTTGCCTGATCGTCAGAGGCTTCTAAAAGCATTTTTTTCTGCAACCTCTTAAGGTTGTAGAAAAAATGCTTTTAAAAGTAAAAAAAAAAAAAAAAAGTTGGCCATGCCCACCCAGTCACATTACCCCCCACAAGCCATGCCCACAAAATAAGCCATGCCCACAGAACCGGTAGTAAAAAAATTTAGAATCCACCCCTGCACTAGACTCCTAAACAACTTAAAAAATGGACTACTAAATTGGCCACACCCACTCAGCCATATGACCAACTAACCACACCCACAGTCACATGACCAACTAGCCACAGTCACATGACCAACTAGCCACACCCACCCAGCTAGTCCGCCCCTACCCCCCAACAGTCTGAGGGGGTGTGAATTTGCACCGTTTAAAAAGTTTGAGGACCCCTGTATTAGACAATCCCTTAAATATGAGCCATCAGTGTGCTGCAGAAGCCAAAGAAGCCAACACAGTCCTAGGGTGCATTAATGGTAGGATAGAATCAAGATCACATAAACAGTTAGTACAACTTTATAATGCCCTGGTATGATCACACTTGGACTATTGCATCCAGTTTTTGTTGCCACAATATAAAAAAAGATGTGGAGACTCTGGAAAGAGTGCAGAGAAGAGCAACAAGAATGATGAGGGGGCTGGAGGATAAAACTTATGAAGAACGGTTGCAGGAATTGGGTATGTCTAGTTTAATGAGAAGAAAGACTAGGGGTGACATGATAACTGTCCTCCAATATCTAAAAGGCTGCCAGAGAGAAGAGGGGGGTCAACCTATTCTCCAAAGTAGCTAAAGGCAAAAGAAGACGTGACTGTCTAGTATCGTCTTAAAAACCTCCTGATGGAGCACCCACAACTTCCGGTGGCAAGCTGTTCCACTGGTTAATTGTCTTCACTGTTAAGACGTTTCTCCTTAATCCCAGGTTGCTGCCCTGATTAATTTCCAACCATTGTTTCTTATCCTGCCTGCTGGTACTTTGGAGAATAATTTGACCCCCGCTTCTTTGTGGCAGCCCCTCAAATACTGTAATACTGTTATGATGTCACCCCTAATTCTTTTCTTTAGACTAGCCAAACCCAAAACCTGCAGCCGTTCTTCATGTTTTAGTCTACAGGCCTTTCATCATATTAGTTGCTCTTCTCTGAACTTTTTTTCCCCAAGTCTCAAGATCTTTCTTGTAATTTGCTGACCAAAACTGGATTCCAGGTGTGGCCTTACTAGGGTTTTGTAAAGCGGCACTAATACTTCACGTGATCTTGATTCTATGCCTGTTTATATAACCCAGAATTGTATTAGCTTTTTTGGCGGCTGCTGCGCACGGCTGGCTCATAGTCAAGTGATTATCCACTAGGACTCTAAGGTCCCTCTCACAGTGACTGTTGTTGAGGCAGATCTTGCCTAATCTGTACTTATACCTTTGATTTTCCCTGCCCTCTCCTCATTAAAATTCATTTTGTATGATAGAGCCAATTGTTTAAGTTTGTCAAGATCTTTATGGATCCTGAGTTTGTCTTCTGGAGTGTTGGCCATTCCTGCCAGCTTAGTATCATCTGCAAATTTGATGAGTTCCCCTTCTATTCCCTCATCTAAGTCATTTATAAAAATATTGAAGCATAGTGGACCTTACAGGGAGCCTTGTGGTACCCCACCACTTACTTCTCTCCATGTGGATGTATTGCCATTAAGGACTATTCGTTGAGTATGGTTTGTCAGCCAGCTACAAATCTATTTGGTGGTGATGTTGTCTATTCCACATTTTTACGTGGAATGGGCCCTATCTAACAAAATGAATTTGGTTGCCACAATATTAAAAAGTTGTCGAGTCTCGAAAGAGTGCAGAGAAGACCAACAATGAAGATGAGAGTGCTGGAGGCTAAAACATACAAAGAATGGTTGCAGGAATTTGGTATGTCTACTTAAGGAAAGAAAGGACTGGGGTGACATGATAGCTGTGTTCCAATATTTGAGGAGCTGCCACAGAGAAGAGGGGTCAACTTATTCTCTAAAGCATTTGAAGGCAGGATGGAAGCAATGGATGGAGAGAACTAACCTAGAACTAAGGAGAAATGTCCTTATAGTTAGAACAATTAATCAGTGGAAGAGCTTGCCTCCAGAAGTTGTGGGTCCTCCAACACTGACAGTTTTTAAGAAGAGACTGGACAGCCATTTGTCTGAAACGGTATAGGATTTCCTGGTATAGGATGTTGGACTAGAAGACCTCCAAGGTCCCTTCCAGCTCTATTTGACTGAAATAGAGAGCATGGGATGAAAGCCCACGCTGGAAAAACTCAAAATAGGTCTCCTTGGCACCTTCACTGACACGCTAGTAGGAGGCACACTTCTGCTCATCCTGATCTGGAGGGGTTATTCTATTATTCTAAGAGTGGGGAATGTCTCACCTTTTCCACAGCTCTTGATCTGAGGCTAGATCTGAGGCCCAGATTTTCCACGACTGATGCCACACATGGAACGCTGAAGAAGTGAGCCAGTCAGCCAATCAGGGAACCACATAAACTGAATGGGAATTCTGGAATGATGGTTGAAAGTGTTGACAGAAGGATCGATGCCAGGAGGGAAGAGAGGCTGGGAGAAAAGAAGCTGACAGAGGCACCACCACATTATCCGCAGTCTTCCTTTGGAGAGGAAGGGAGGTTATTCTGGAAAGGTGAACATCAGCTTTTCTCACTGGCCAGCTGCGCAGAATGTAACTCAGCAAAAGCCTCCAAGCTGGTGATTTGGTTGAAGGGGAATGTTGGGGTTGAACTGAACCCATCTGTAAATATAACGGGAGGGGGGGAGGGGGAGAGGCAGCCCCTTTGGGACCCTCACTTTTAGCAAAGCAGATTGGATGGAACAGGACATCTATAACCTTTCTCAAAGGACCCTCCCCTTTGGCTGCCTAAACATCATTCTCTCTTAGACACCATGGAGTAGTGCACATTGAGATGGCCACAGAGGGCAGCAGGATTCCTCCTCTCACTCTCTCCCCCCCTCTCAATCCCACTATTTCTCTCTTCTGAGAGGTTCGTGCACCCAGAGATGGGCATCCCCTTGTGGGGCTTCAAGAGGAGCTGCAGCAGATGGCTGCACAAAAGGGGAGAATGAAACAGGGCAGGAAAGAGGGAGCAAAGAGTCAGCATGTGCTACAAGCAGAGGCCTTGGAGCCACTGCCTGAACTGGTGTCTCTGTGCATTTCTTTGTTATGTTTGCACACTGCAAAATCTACACTGGATCCTTGCTGGCTTACCTCATCCCATTTTGTGCATCAGAGGTAGGATGTGCCCGAGACAGAAGGATTTCCATGCAGCCGAGAGGGACCTTCTTCCTGGGGAAGGTGCCCTGAGTGCCAGTTGCATTCTGAACGGGGCAAGGAGGAGGGATGGTTCAGCAGGAGGCGGAAGGAATATTTTGCACGAGTGAGGAGGAGGACTTCCCTTTCTCCCGCCAACCTCAGCGGCTGCAGGATATTTGGGGAGCCCATTCCCTGAGCATTTTCACAGCTGGGAGCATCCATGGGTCCTCCGTTTCCCTGGGCTTTGTTGCTGAGCTTGGATTCACGTTCCCTTTTAAGGGAATAGTGGTGTCCTCAGAGTTCCTGGCTAGGAGGAAAAGCCACTTATGTTTTCAAGTAGGAGATGGATTACACCCCCTGAGAGATCTCCTCTTCTCGAGTGACAGCAAGTTTGCAGAGCAAGCAATAGCAATAGTTCTTAGACTTATACACTGCTTCACAGTGCTTTTACAGCCCTCTCTGAGCGGTTTACAGAGTCAGAATAATAGCGGAGTCATGACAGCATGGTCTGCTCTGAGAAGTATCTCTATGATTCTTTTCCACCTTTATTTATGAGAAAATTGTTGATTGGATTCTTTTTTCTTTTAGTTTTGCCTCATGATGCCTATGTCTGCATTTATGTTGTTTGAAGGAGACAACAAAGAAATGGAAATTTGGACAATTGTTTGGGATTTTGTATCTTCCCTTAGTGGTTGGGGAGTGGGTGTTGTCTTTTATTTTGCCAAAAACAAAATAAGCTTAAAAATTAAAGGAAGTTAAAGATTGATGAATGATGAAATGAATCTTAATAAAACTGTAACTAATTTCCATGGCTTCTATTTACACTACATTTTAAAAGTCCAATTTCACTTCAGTTCAATCTTCTTTTCTCTTTTTTAATTCCTGCTTTCTATTCCTGTCCTGTTCAAGTCTTATACTTTTATTCCAGATTTCCCCCTTATTTGCTCCTTGGTTGGGCTTCCTGGTGTTTTCTCCTGAATCTTTGATCCATCTGAGGGAAATGGCTGAGAGAACAAAGATGCCTTTCTCCCCTCATTTCTTTCAGCTGCTACACCCTTTCCGGAGCCTCTCCTCATCAGGGCAGTCTATCTTTCAGTTGCAATCTTCACTTTGACTCCTATCTTTGGCTCTGTTTATTCAGCCTAAGGCCTGTGGCAGTAGAGCTTCAGGCAGTCAACTAATCATGAAGAGGCCTATCCAGAATCACCTGAACCTTGAGGGCCAAAGAGCTTTGGCTCTTTTTATTTGGCTACTTCATGAGGCCTATGGTGGCAAAGCTTCAGACAGCCATCTTGTCTTCCCTCCTTCTCACCGCCTGCCTAGCAACAGCCCTTTGATTGGGCACTACTATTTGATTGGCAGCTGGATCAACCTGTGGACAGCCACAAAGGTGGGGAACATGGAGCACAAGGGCCTATCACCTACTGAGGTGATCCTTCAATGACAGATGTCAGCCTGAGGGTCAACTAATCATGAAGAGGCCCATCCAGAGTCACCTGAACCTCGAGAGCCAATAAAAGAAAAGAAGCGGTTTTGGCGGGAAGGGTTGAGGTATCATTGGGGAAGGAGGGCAGCCATGATGGGTCCCCTCAGGGAAGGCTGGAAACTGGCTTGGTTATAGTTCAACTTGTGTGTTTTTCCACTGATTCTTTGTGCATAGATCCATTTCTTTCTTGTCTTTTCTTTGTCTAGGTCACGCTGCTTGCCCATTTCTGCCAAGGTCTTTCTCTCTACATTTTACAACCATTTTCTGCTTTCATGGCCACTTCTCCCATCAGTGCATCAGGGACAGAACTTGTGTCATGAAGCATGACTCACATCGAGATATTTACGACTAAAACTTGGCTACTGCAGGCAACCCTGTGTATGGGTCTCGACTAAAGGGAATAAATAACTGGTACTTGTTGGGTTTTTGGCATTCTCTGAGGTTGGTTTCCTGCTTGCAGATGTTTGAGAAGAGGGCTAGATAATTTCATCAGTATTCTGATGATATGAAGTGAGGTCTAATGGCTGTTTATATAACAATAACAGAGCTGGAAGGGACCATGGAGGTCTTCTAGTCGAACCCACTGCTCAAGCAGGACAGCCCTCTACCATTTCAGACAAATGGCTGTCCAGTCTCTTCTTAAAAGCCTCCAGTGAGGGAGCCCCCACAGCTTCTGAAGGAAAGCCATTTCTCTGATTAACTGTTCTAATTCTGAATAAATTGCTCCTTATTTCTAGGTTGTTTCTCTCCTTGATTAGTTTCCATCTGTTGCTTCTTGTCTTGCCTTCAGACGCTTTGGAGAATAGGTTGCACCTCTCTTCCTTGTGGCAGCCTCCCAAATATTGGAATATGTTATCATATCACCCTAGTCCTTCTTTTCATTAAACTAGGCATACCCATATATCCTTCGGCCATCTAATGAGAAGGAAGGACACACTGGAGAAGGATTCACTGAAGAGCCTAATGCTGGGAAAGATTGAGGACAAAAGAAGAAGGGGACGGTAGAGAACGAGGTGGCTGGATGGAGTCACTGAAGCAGTCGGAGTGAGATTAAATGGACTCCAGATGGTAGAGGACAGGAAGGCCTGGTGGAACATTGTCCATGGGGTCGCGATGGGTCGGACACGACTTCGCAACTAGTCGTGGGGTTATACGCAATCTGCTGTTATATGCCTGTTGGTGGCTCATTGGTCAGAGGATTGTGGGTCTAGAAATTGTTTTACATTGTTGGAGCTACACAATCATCCTAGCCAAACCCAGCAGCACCAGAAGACAACCAGGGGTCATTTATAACATATAATGTGGGGATGGTGAATCCTCCATGTAAGCAAAGAGATAGGATGTGGGGTGGCCACATCCACGGACATCAAGCACTGTTGGTGTCATTTGTATCCTTTTTCTATTTTCTTCCAGAATTGTTGTACTTTTAATTTTTGTACGAGATATATTTTATATTATATTTTTCAGGTGAACTTCTGTGAGTCGTTTTTGATGGCAGTAACATAGTAATATATTCCATAAATAAATAAAATAGGCACAGAACCTAACAAACACGGCCCTCCCCGATAAGTCCATCTCTGATAGGATGAGTTTGCTTACTGGATGGATTCACTTCAAAACATTTTTCTTCTCATCCAAGAAGCTTCCTCAGTTCTCTTTTTCTTCAGAACTGAAGAAGCTTCTTGGATGAGAAGCAAAACACCTTCAAGGAAAAACAAAGCCCAGTTGCCTTTTGAAAAAGCAACTTTGGGATACCCATGACCCGGATGACCGAGAATCTCCACAGACATTTCTCTCTTTTAGTGGCCTATTTGAACACAGTTTTTAAGTGGGGAACATAAAGGTGGGATATCAGTTCAGTCATACGAACTGGAGATTCTTGTTGAAAACCCACTTTAGGACTGTCAAAGTGAGGAGATGGAGCTTTTTTTACAGCATGATCACCAAAACTGGATGCCATATTCCAAGTGTGGCCTTACCAAGGCTTTATAAAGTGGTACTATCACATCACGTGATCTTGATTCTATCCCTCTGTTGATGCAGCCTAGAACTGTGTTGGCTTTTTGGTCAGCTGCAGCACATGGCTGGCTCATATTTAAGTGACTGAATGCACTAAAAAGTATACTACATCTGAAGCAATGAAACATTTTAAAACAACAAAAAGCATCCAAAAGACATGTACATAGCAGCTGAGATACTTGGCCAGTTAGCAATACTGGCAGAAAACATGGCCCTTGACACATTCAGTGCCCCAGGCATGGGGACACAGTGATGATTTTAGGGCTGTACTGAAAAAGGCACCGGTGCTTTTCACCACAATGCCATATGCAACCGGTCATTCCTTCAAGAACCCTTGCATGTATGCTAATACCAAGGTAGCTATTTCCAGCAAGGACTGCATCTACCCCAGTTCTACCGAGGAAATCCCAGTTTGGACAATTTTGAAGCAGGAGAAGAAAATCCACACTGTACTTAGACTTTGCTGAGGACCACCTGAAATGCAGAAGCTTCCCAGGGCCAGAGGAAGAAACTGAGGGCTAAGCGCTGAATCCTGATTGGACACAGCAGCCAGCCAATCGGAGAGCAGCAGGAGCTGAATATTCTACATCATAAAGAAAATGAACTTCTGAAGCTGCAGAAGGAAGCTCCAGTTGTAGGTACCGAGAGAGGGGAAGAAGAAAAAATGATTAAGGCTCTCGAGCAATAGTGCTTCTGCTCACCTGCTCAAGTCCAGGAGTGGCTCCAGGGTCTGCAGGTTGGCTAGGGACTCTTAGCATCCTGCCTCTAATCCCTCTGCCACTGGGCTGCGATTCAAGGAGAAAGTGAGATAAATGTTTCTTTTTGGACCAGGAAACTGGGGCATTGGAAGGTGCAAGTGCTCAGGGACCCGAGCAGCACATTTTCTTCACTGGGTCCGAACTCTGGAGCGACCGATTCCTGGGAGATCCCTGCCTAATCAGCATCTGGGAGGGAAAGTTGTCCCAGAGATGTGCTGTTTCACTGCTATTGTTTAGCAGAGTGACTTTTGTCCCGTGCTGTCTTTGTATCTGTGCTCAGGCTGTTTATAGGTGATGGATTTGTAGCTTTCCTTCAGTTTTTGGTTTGTGTGAGATGTTTTAGTTGGTCTGTGCTCCACAGAGAAGACAGGAGTCCTCTGCCGAGGTTCACGTTTTAGAGTGGGAAAAGAGAGACCAGGTCGGAGCTGTGCTCCACCCCAGACTCCATGAGTGACCTTGAACCAATCACTCCACTTCACCACATGGAATTATGCTTATGGCTTGCAATCATGACTGTAATAGTATTTAAGGGGCTTCCACAAAGACGTGATGCTGACAATGAGAACAATTAGTCAGTTTAACAGCTTGCCTTCCAAAGTTGTGGGTGCTCCATCACTGGAGGTTTTCAAGAAGCGATTGGACAACCATTTGTCCAGGATAGTGTAAAATCTTGGGCAGGAGGTTGGACTAGAAGACCTCCAAGGTCCCTTCCAACTCTGTTACTGTGTTAATTTCTTCAATTATGTGTCTTCCCTGCCTTCTTCCACCAGTTGTCCACTACCTTAGATACAGGGCCTTGTTCTTGTGAAGCTGCTGTATGCTGGGCTGTGTTCTTCCTTGCTACCCTGTTAACAGGACCTTGAGGAGTCAGGAAAAGTTGTGTACGTGGATGGAAGCAGAGTGAGGAATGTGTAGTTGTGATCAAGCCAAAAAAAGAGTAACATTTTAAGTAGTATCGTATTGAGCATCTGAGTGTATGGAGAAGCTGAGAATGCCAGATCTAGGAGAGTCACTATGTTACAAGAATCTCACCAGACTGACGGCATCCCCCTGGGAATGGTCAGATAAGGCTTCACGAATTGCAGGGGAGGGCAAGCCTTTGATGCTTCCTGCTGTGGTGAGAATCCAAATTCAGGCCCCTCTTAACTCCTCTGTCCAGCCTAGCTGGAGATTCTACCACATTTATATACACAAAGTTCTTTAGCCCTATGGCAGGTAACTATGTGGGAATTGAATTGGAGTCAATATGTATATGTGTCTGTATGTTTGTGTGTGTGTGTATTACACAAACACATACACACAATGTGCCACTCTCATAAAAGTGGAATATAAACATAACCAATCAAGGTAGAATCAGGATTCAAAATACAGTTGTTGGGTCCAAAGCCTTTGATTAAATGTTGTTTATTTCTGAAGTCCTCCTGGTTGTTGTCCATTTCCTCCTCCTGGTTTTAATACAAAGGTTGGGGCTGGAGTTGGCTTCTCTGTCTTGCAACATTAATTTTTCACCGTCTGCTCCACCATCTTCTTCACTTTTCAGGATGAACTGTTAAATACACTGAAGAGACCAAATGGGTCACAAAAAGCCACCTGGACATCGTAAGTGGTTTCTGCCATTTTTTTCTCTGTTAAAGAATATGTAGTTGATACATGATGGGCTACAGTTCTTCCTCCCCACCTTCCATAAATTTTAGTGGAAGTTTAAAAGAGAATATAAAATAATTACCCAAACTAACAAAGAAAAAAAAAGAAAAGGAAGGAAGGAAGGAAGGAAGGAAGGAAGGAAGGAAGGAAGGAAGGAAGGAAGGAAGGAAGCCAAAAGAATAGAAAGATGTTTCCAATTTCCTTTGTAGCAAGTATAATTACAAAATTATCTTGCAAAAAAGTTATTTTTTTCCATTATCCAATTATTCAAAGCATGTGCATTTTTCCCATTTAACGCAATCAGGATTTTCTAGTCAGCCAGAAAGATATTGTCTTGATCAAAAAAAATCATTTAATCATCTCCACAGTCAATTTCAACCACATATTTTCCCATTGATCTATTTGTATATTGTAGTGAATTTTTCAGCCCATTTGATCATGCATTCTTTCACTTGTTCTTCTTTTGCCTATTTCAACCAATGTTAACATGTTCATTATTAATAAATATTTCAAATTCAGACTTTGTTCAAAACTATAACATCTTTCATCCACTTCAAACCTTCTGATAATTGTACATAAGAAAACCACTTCTCTCAATTTTAGTTTACAATCCCTTTGAGAAAATTCTAGTACATCACAGTATGTTAATCTTTTATGCCTAGTTATTGCTTGTCTACATCTTCTTGTGCTGGAAGAACCTAAAAATCTATTTATTCCATGCTCTAAGAACAGCTTGTGTAACGTAAGGATTTTTAAAATCTACACTCAGTTTAGTTTTATTATATCATGTGTATCTGTGCCGCCCAAATCTCAGATGATGCCCTTCTAACTCCGATAGTCTCTTATTTCTTAACAACTCTCACTCTTTCATCAAAACTAAATAGGCAGCAAAACATAATTTCAAATCTTATACTCCTACTCTTTTCTTTTTGCATCTTGTAGAAACTCTTATTTAATTCATAATTCCTTCCCCCACCATACAAGTATTTCTGCCATTGTTTAAATGGCACATCAATTGTCTGAAGGTATTGTCTGAAGCAAAAAATAACATTCTAGGTAAAACATTTATTTTAATCAAAATGGAAGCCTCTCCTCAGTGCAAAACACACAAAAGTCCACTTACAGTTTGTTCCTCATAGCCTGAGAGTCTTTCAGGTGTTTTTTTTTTTTTTGCAAACTCCACGTGGGCTTTCATGTGTTTTGCACTGAGGAAAGGCTTCCCTCTCGTGTCTCTTCCATAAAGCCCAGATTGGTGGATGGCTGCAGTGATGGTTGTCCTTCTGGAACTCTGTCCCATCTCCACACAGGATCTTTGGAGCTCAGTCAGAGTGACCATGAGGTTCTTGGTCACTTCTCTTACTAAGGCCCTTCTTCCCTGATTGCTCAGTTTGACTGGGCGACCAGCTGTCGGAAGGGTCCTGGTTGCGCCAAATTTCTTCCATTTCAGAATTATGGAGGCCACTGTGCTCTTAGGAACCTTCAGTGCAGCAGAAATTTTACTGTAGCCTTCTTGAGCTTTGTGCCTTGCAGTAATCCTGTCTCTAAGCTCTGAAAGCAGTTTCTTTGACCTCGTGGCTTTTGCTCTGCTACAGTATGTATTGTCAGCTGTGACACCTTCTATAGAGAGGTGTCTGCCTTTCCAAATCATGTCCAATCAATTTAATTTACTACAGGTCAACTCCATTCAAGGTGTAGAAACATGTCAGCAATGATCAAGAAAAATGGGAGGCACTAGAGTTAAATTTCACATTTGTTGCAAAGGGGCTGAATACTTATATCAATGTGATATTTCAGTTTTTTCTTTTTAATAAATTTACAGACATTTCTAAAACTCTGTTTTCACTCTGTCATTATGGAGTACTGAATGTAGATTAATGAGAAAAAAACCCTGGAATTTAACAACTGTAGAATCAGTCGGCAGCATAGCAAAATTGACAAAAGTGAAGGGGGTCTGAATATTTTCTGAATGCACTGTATCTTTTCTAACTTAATTCCATCTCTTACCTTAATTATTTTCAAATATCACAGCATTCATATTTTTTATAGTTTTGCCAAATATTTTATCTTAAAACCCATTTAACAGCATGCAAGTTTAATAAAGAAATAAACAACAATTATTCTTTTCTCTGACGCAGAATTCTAATAGGAATCTCTTTCAGAACAATTATGTCAATATTATCCATTTTCAATCTTGCGTTAAAATGATGATGCAGCCCTTCCTCATCTTTAAAAAAAAATGCCCCAAAATATCCCTGGGGAGATTCCTAATTCTGGCAAATCAGGATATTTTTCTATAAATCTTATCAGTTTCTGCCTCCATATGTCCCTTCTTCACATCCAAAACATTTACCCCAAAATGCTGCTCTCTACCGTAACGTTTTCCTCTAGAGCATCAGGAGCAGCTCTAAAGAATTTTTTCTCTCTCCATTACAGTAAAGCCAGATTATCCAATTTATGTATTTTTGCATCCATTCTTTTTTGTTCCAAAACAACCCATTTTATTCCCCATCTGGTCAAATTCATTTCCCATCTGTTCAAAATATTTCTGAAGCACATACTGTGTAATTATTTTTTCTGCATGCTGGCCCTCCTTCAGCCTTCTTTTGCCATTTTTCCAGTAGCCATATCTAATCCAAAAATAACATCTCAAAGGCAAAAAGAAAGACAATCCACACTCTCTTTCTTTTCCTTATTAGTAGATCCTGGTTACTGCAGCAACAACAGTCTCCATGGCAAGTAAACATCATAGTCTGATTCTTTACCTTATGCAAATTCAGCTAACTTCACATACTCTTTAAGGAAAAATAAACATTCCCACTACAACTAGACTCTTTAACTGGCTTAGTGCAAAATTATACCAAAACACTTTCATCAAAGGTTAAAAGAAGAAAAAATAGAAAACAGAAAAATAAGAAAAAAGTCTGTTCCTCTTCCCGTTTAAAACTTTCTTACATCTTCTTTTAAACTTTTTGCAAATAGTTCTTAAATATTTAAATCAAAATCTCTTTCGTTTTGTTTTTCTAATCTAAAAAGAAGATTGAACTCACAACAAACAGTCTTATCTTTGCAACAGAGGAAATCACCCTTCATCTATAAATTAATTACTTCCCCAACTGATTAATTTCCTACCAGAAAGCACTCTGGTGCAGGGGTCACCAAACTTTTGGACCTCAGGGACCACTAAATTCATAATTTTAAATCTCATGGACCACTAATACGAATCCACTGCGCTGCTCACTGAAGTGCCTGGACTTCCAGTGACAGAATGGGGTCCTTCAGGCACTTAATTTGGCCATCTGTTTCTGCAACCTTAAATACTCAAAGAGCCATTTGGACCTGTTTCCCACAGAAAACAAAGCATCTTTCTCTCTCATCTTTCTTTCTTTCTCATCTTTTTCTCTCTCTCATTTCTCTCTCTCCCCTCTCTGTCTGTCTCTCTCATCTTTTTTCTCTCTCATCTTTCTCTCTCATATGTCTCTCTCCCCCTCTCTGTCTGTCTCTCTCATCCTTCTCTCTCTCATCTCTCCCCCCTCTCTCTCTGTCTCTCTCTCTCTCTCTGTCACCAGTGGTGGGATTCAAGTAATTTAACAACTGGTTCTTTGCCCTAATGATTTCTTCCAACAACCAGTTTGCCATAACAACCAGTTCTCCCGAAGTGGTGCAAACTGCCTGAATCCCACCACTGTCTGTCACCCTGTCTCTGATCTCTCTCTCTCATTCTAATTCTCTGGTGCTCTCTGGGTCTCACGGGAGTTTCTTCAGCCTTTGTTGGTGCTGGACGCACCTCGGTCATTCGGGAAGATGCACAACCTGCTGTCCGCCCCAAGACACTCACCCGACCCAGCTGCAAGCGATGCTCCGCATTGTAATGTGCTCCAGGAGGAGAAGGGGATGCTGTCTCCCCCATTGTGAGGCCCACTAAATTTAACTTTGCTGTAAGAGCAGTGGGCAGGCCACAGAGGCACCAACAGTAGCAGCGGAGAGAAATGGCCGGGTTGGGCCAGTGTCTCAAAGCTGAGAGGAAGTTGCACATCTCCAGAGAGACTGAGATACACGGAGCACCAACAAGGACTGAAAGAAACGCCTGCAAGACCCAGAGCTGCCTGGCCAGTCCCATATTCCAGAGTTCTAGTCACAAGACTGGCCACTGGTCATCCCGGAGCATACATACCCACACTGAGATTGTGATTCTATCTTCAAGCAATGGTGCTGTGGGAGCTGAGCTAGTTGCTGATCTGCTTCTAGGTGCTGTTTCTCACCTCTCAAGGTGATTGTTTTGGCTAGATACTTTGGACATCTCTTATTCCAAATCAAATCTCCCTGCCCAAGGCAGCCTGCAGAGAATGTTGTGAGAGACTGTGATAGTGTCTTATTCACTAAATAGCAGATGTCCACCTTACATCCTGGGAGGAGTCCAAAATTAGTAGACCAGCAATTGAAAAGGTTGCGTCCATCACATAGTTGCAATGCATCACCTTTTTAAAAAATTATTATTTGATTTATATGCCGCCCTTCTCCGAAGACTCAGGGCGGCTTACAATGCATTAAGCAATAGCCTTCATACTTTTGTATATTTATACAAAGTCATCTTATTGCCCCCACAATCTGGGTCCTCATTTTACCTACCTTAGAAAGGATGGAAGGCTGAGTCAACCTTGGTGAGATTTGAACTTGCAGTAATTGCAGGCAGCTGATGTTAATAACAGTGCTTTAGTCTGCTGCGCTACCAGGGCTCTTTTTGTCCTCAATGGAAGCAGAGAATGGCTGTTTCATTATCCATATTTATTTAGGGGCATGCGCCTTGTAGAGTCCTAGTAACGCATTGGAAATGATGGCTTTAGGCCGGATGTAAAAATGCAATTCTGTCATTTTCCAGATTCAAAGAAACACCATGGTGAGGAGAAAGGCGAAGGTACGTACGCTTTTATAGCCAAGCATTTAATTTGGTGTGTAATTTAATATTACTCCTTTAACTAATTGGGACCTTATGGTTTAATCTGGTGTGCTCTTCTTGTGCTCTTCTGCTCTTCCAACAGAAATCAGATTTGCATTCTCCTTGCAATTTAAGAAAGTTTTAAAAACGCTGCTATTCCAAACAGGGTTTCAGGGAGCTGTTAAGTACCTGTCATGATGGAACACATGAGGAACAGATATTATTCATGTTTCTTATACTTTTAGGTTGAATATGATTTTATACCTAAACATTGTGTATTTTTGTACCATGTTGTATTTGTAAATTACAATGAGTGATGTAGCGTTATAGAGGGAGGGAGGGAGAGAGGAAGGAAGGAAGGAGGGAGGAGGAAGGGAGGGGAGGAGGAAGGAGGAAGGGGAGGGGGTAGGAAGGGAGGAAATGGAGAGGGAGGGAAAAGAGGGAGGGAGGAAGAAAATGGAGAGGAAGGGAGGAAGATCAATTGTTTGAACCTTTTTCTAGTTATATCCACCTGACCCACCAGAGTGGGCGGGGGGGGGGGCGCAAGGCATTTATGGGTCCCCTCTCTTAAGGAGGTCCATTTAGTGTGACCAAGAAGAAAAGGCTTCTCTTTTTTTTTAATTACATTTTTTATTTTTATTTTTATTTTTAAACAAACAATTCACTATTAATCAATCAGTGTAACATCTAGGTACAAATTTTTTTGTGTCGTCATATTCAACATTTAGCATCATTTTCTTAGTACATATTTATCTTTCTTCTTACATTTAAATTTAATGTATTACGTGTTTTCCTCATGTTTCTTATTATTGCCCCCATATGTTGTAATACTCCGATTCTTCCTTCCCCTAATTGCTAATGTTAATTTCTGATTTCTGCACATTCTAATATTTTCTTAATTAGCTCTCCCTTTGTAGGAATTTTTTCTGCTTTCCAATTTTGTGCAAAGCATTGTTGCTGCCGTTATTACATGTATAATCAACTATGTATTTTCTTTACTGAATTTCTCCGGTAAGATACCCAACAGGAACAGCTTCGGTTTAAGATCAATGTGTTGCTATATCATTTTCTCTAGCCATATTCAAATTTTTGCCCAATAATTTCTCACTTCTGGACATGTCCACCACATGTGATAGTACGATCCCGATGTCTGGTGGCATTTCCAACATTTAGCTAATTTATCATTGAACATTTTTGCCAATCTTTCCAGTGACATGTGCCACCTATAAAACATTTTATACAAGTTCTCTTTATATGCTGTAGCCATTGTTAATTTGTAATTTCTTTCCCATAATTGCTGCCATTTATCTAATTCTATTGTATATCCAAAAAATTTTTGCCCATGCTATCATTGTTTCTTTTACTTGTTGTTCTTCTAATTTAACTCCAAGTAAATAACTATAGAATTTTAAAATCATTTTCTCATCTGTTCCTGTGAGTATCTCATCCAATTCTGTCATCTCCAAGTAAAAACCATATAACTTTGCATCTTTTTCATATCTCGATTGTATTTGCAGTTGTGTATACTACTCCATAACAATCGCTTGTTCTACTAGTTCTTGTTTCATTTTCATTTCCCCCTTTTATGATAAAATATCTTATATCTTTATAGCTCAGCTGAGAGCGGCCATCTTGGACATGCACAGAGATAATTTGCCTTCTGCCGCCAATAGCCTCCCACCGGCCAGTTCGCTCGCACAGAGAGGGCCTCCTCAGGGTGCCGTCGGCCAGACAATGTCGGCTGGCGACCCCCAGGGGGAGAGCCTTCTCTGTGGCGGCACCTGCCCTCTGGAACGACCTACCCCCAGAGATACACACGATACCAGACCTCTGGACTTTTCGTTGGGCCCTGAAAACACATCTATTTCATCTAGCCGGGCTGGCTTGATCCCATCCTTTCGGTTTTAATTTGAAATTGGTTTTAACTGGGTTGTTTTAAATTGAGGGCCGAAATTATTTAATGTCTTTTAAACTGCTTTTAAATTTTATATGTTATGTTTTATCTCGGCTGTTCACTGCCCTGAATCCTGTTGGAGAAGGGCGGTATAAAAATCAAATCAAATAAATAAATAAATAAATAAATATATATATAAAAGCGAAAACCACTCACGCATTAATCATGAAATCTCCAGAACCGTAATGCCTACAAACTTGAAATTTGCCACGTATGTTCCTCTTGGCTTCTAGGTGCTCACCAGGAAAGGATTTTTCGAAATGACCATCAGAGCATTTCCTATGTTATTATAACACGCTCTGATGCTAATTAGTTAGACCTTCTACTTCCCCTCCCAACTTGAAAATAACTCTGGAGAGAACGGGATACCATAGGACAGGCTTCTGTGGGGCAAGCCTCATGGAGAGAAGGAGCTAGAAAGCCTGAGGGAGAGAAGGGGAGAGGAGAGGATTTATGGGGCCAGCCTGAGGGAGAGAAGGGTGAGGAGAGGATTTATGGGGCCAGCCTGAGGGAGAGAAGGGGTGAGGAGAGGATCTATGGGGCCAGCCTGAGGGAGAGAAGGGGTGAGGAGAGGATTTATGGGGCCAGCCTGAGGGAGAGAAGGGGTGAGGAGAGGAGAAGCTTCTGTGAGGCAAGCCTGAGGGAGAGAAGGGGACAGGGTCTATGGGGCCAGCCTGAGGGAGAGTTGCAATGCATCACCTTGTCCTCAATGCAAGCAGAGAATGGCTGTTTCATTATCCATATTTATTTAGGGGCATGCGCCTTGTAGAGTCCTAGTAACGCATTGGAAATGATGGCTTTAGGCCGGATGTAAAAATGCAATTCTGTCATTTTCCAGATTCAAAGAAACACCATGGTGAGGAGAAAGGAGAAGGTACGTACGCTTTTATAGCCAAGCATTTAATTTGGTGTGTAATTTAATATTACTCCTTTAACTAATTGGGACCTTATGGTTTAATCTGGTGTGCTCTTCTTGTGCTCTTCTGCTCTTCCAACAGAAATCAGATTTGCATTCTCCTTGCAATTTAAGAAAGTTTTAAAAACGCTGCTATTCCAAACAGGGTTTCAGGGAGCTGTTAAGTATCTGGCATGATGGAACACATGAAGAACAGATATTATTCATGTTTCTTTTACTTTTAGGTTGAATATGATTTTATACCTAAACATTTTGTATTTTTGTACCATGTTGTATTTGTAAATTACAATGAGTGATGTAGCGTTATAGAGGGAGGGAGGGAGAGAGGAAGGAAGGAAGGAGGGAGGGAGGAAGGAAGGAGGAAGGGGAGGGGGTAGGAAGGGAGGAAATGGAGAGGGAGGGAAAAGAGGGAGGGAGGAAGAAAATGGAGAGGAAGGGAGGAAGATCAATTGTTTGAACCTTTTTCTAGTTATATCCACCTGACCCACCAGAGTGGGCGGGGGCGGGGGCGCAAGGCATTTATGGGTCCCCTCTCTTAAGGAGGTCCATTTAGTGGGACCAAGAAGAAAGGGCTTCTCTTTTTTTTAAATTACATTTTTTATTTTTATTTTTAAACAAACAATTCACTATTAATCAATCAGTGTAACATCTAGGTACAAATTTTTTTGTGTCGTCATATTCAACATTTAGCATCATTTTCTTAGTACATATTTATCTTTCTTCTTACATTTAAATTTAATGTATTACATGTTTTCCTCATGTTTCTTATTATTGCCCCCATATGTTGTAATACTCCGATTCTTCCTTCCCCTAATTGCTAATGTTAATTTCTGATTTCTGCACATTCTAATATTTTCTTAATTAGCTCTCCCTTTGTAGGAATTTTTTCTGCTTTCCAATTTTGTGCAAATACCATTGTTGCTGCCGTTATTACATGTATAATCAACTATGTATTTTCTTTACTGAATTTCTCCGGTAAGATACCCAACAGGAACAGCTTCGGTTTAAGATCAATGTGTTGCTATATCATTTTCTCTAGCCATATTCAAATTTTTGCCCAATAATTTCTCACTTCTGGACATGTCCACCACATGTGATAGTACGATCCCGATGTCTGGTGGCATTTCCAACATTTAGCTGATTTATCATTGAACATTTTTGCCAATCTTTCCAGTGACATGTGCCACCTATAAAACATTTTATACAAATTCTCTTTATATGCTGTAGCCATTGTTAATTTGTAATTTCTTTCCCATAAATGCTGCCATTTATCTAATTCTATTGTATATCCAAAAAAATTTTGCCCATGCTATCATTGTTTCTTTTACTTGTTGTTCTTCTAATTTAACTCCAAGTAAATAACTATAGAATTTTAAAATCATTTTCTCATCTGTTCCTATGAGTATCTCATCCAATTCTGTCATCTCCAAGTAAAAACCATATAACTTTGCATCTTTTTCATATCTCGATTGTATTTGCAGTTGTGTATACTACTCCATAACAATCGCTTGTTCTACTAGTTCTTGTTTCATTTTCAATTCCCCCTTTTCTGATAAAATATCTTTATATCTATATATATAAAAGCAAAAACCACTCACGCATTAATCATGAAATCTCCAGAACCATAAAGCCTACAAACTTGAAATTTGCCACGTATGTTCCTCTTGGCTTCTAGGTGCTCAGTAGGAAAGGATTTTTCAAAATGACCATCAGAGCATTAGTATTTCCTATGTTATCATAACACGCTCTGATGCTAATTAGTTAGACCTTCTACTTCCCCTCCCAACTTGAAAATAACTCTGGAGAGAACAGGATACCATAGGACAGGCTTCTGTGGGGCAAGCCTCATGGAGAGAAGGAGCTAGAAAGCCTGAGGGAGAGAAGGGGATAGGATAGGAGACGATAGAAGGGGAGAGGACAGGAGAGGCTTCTGTGAGGCCAGCCTGAGGGAGAGAAGGGGAGAGGAGAGGATTTATGGGGCCAGCCTGAGGGAGAGAAGGGGAGAGGATAAGAGAGGCTTCTGTGGAGCAAGCCTGAGGGAGAGAAGGGGAGAGGGTCTATGGGGCCAGCCTGAGGGAGAGTTGCAATGCATCACCTTGTCCTCAATGGAAGCAGAGAATGGCTGTTTCATTATCCATATTTATATAGGGGCATGCGCCTTGTAGAGTCCTAGTAACGCATTGGAAATGATGGCTTTAGGCCAGATGTAAAAATGCAATTCTGTCATTTTCCAGATTCAAAGAAACACCATGGTGAGGAGAAAGGAGAAGGTACGTACGCTTTTATAGCCAAGCATTTAATTTGGTGTGTAATTTAATATTACTCCTTTAACTAATTGGGACCTTATGGTTTAATCTGGTGTGCTCTTCTTGTGCTCTTCTGCTCTTCCAACAGAAATCAGATTTGCATTCTCCTTGCAATTTAAGAAAGTTTTAAAAACGCTGCTATTCCAAACAGGGTTTCAGGGAGCTGTTAAGTATCTGGCATGATGGAACACATGAAGAACAGATATTATTCATGTTTCTTTTACTTTTAGGTTGAATATGATTTTATACCTAAACATTTTGTATTTTTGTACCATATCATTGTATTTTTGTATTTGTAGGTTACAATGAGTGATATGGCGTTATAGAAGGAGGGAGGGAGGGAGAGAGGAAGGAAGGAAGGAAGGAAAGAGGGAGGGAGGGAGGTATGAAGAAGGAAGGGTGCGGAGAAGGAAAGAAGGAAATGGAGAGGAAGGGAGGTAGGTTAGTTGTTTGAGCCTTTTCCCAGTTACATCCACCTGACCCACCGGAGCGGGCAGGAGGGGGCGCAAGCCATTTATGGGTCCCCTCTCTTAAGGAGGTCCATCTAGTGGGACCAAGAAGAAAGGCCTTCTCCATGGTGGCTTATTCCCTGTGGACCATTATCCCTGTAGAAATAAGATTGGCTCCCACCTTGACATACTTTCAATTCCTGGCTGTATGTTATTTTCCTTGCTTTGTTTCCCCTTTTTTTTGATCTAGTTCTTGTTTACGTCTTTCATTTTCCCAGTTTTCCTCTCCCTTCAGGTCTATCTCAGGTTACTGAATTCAGATAATCCAAATACTTACAACAACATAGCTGTTTTTGCTCTTCTATTTCTTGTTTCTTTTCTGTGTATATAATAATGTTGGCTACCTCGAAAGGGATTAGCATGTGAGGTGCTCATGTAGGAATATTTTGAATCAAGGATAGAAAACCCCCTGGAAACTCCAACACCAGCTCACTGTAATACTTAAACTGGATGTAAACAAGCATTTTGCCTTCTCATAGGCTCAAAGAAAGAAGCTCATGAAAAGAAAAAACATGAACGACATGAAGAAGGTATGTAAGCATTTGCAGCTCACCTTCTATCCTACGCAGAATACTATTAACAACAGTTTAGTTCTGATGGGGTCACATTGGCACAGCTGTTAAAGATGCTGAGCTTGTCAGTTACAAAGCCGACAGCCTGGGTTCGAGACCCAAGCATCGCGTGATGGGGTGAGCTCTCGTTAGTCGCTGCAGCTCCTGCCCACCTAGCAGTTTGAAAGCAGACAAATGCGAGTAGATAAATAAGTACCACTATTGGTGGGAAGGTAACAGAGTCCTGTGCACCTCGGCATATAGTCATGCTGGCCACATGACCACGGAAAGGGTCTTTGGACAATGCTGGCTCCCTTAGCTAAGAAACGGAGATGAGCACCACACCTAGAGAGGGAAAGTCTGGAGAGGGAGAAACCTTGACCTTTAGATGGGCTTTCTGTTCAACTGGGAGCCCCCTTTTCATAGAATGGGGTGAACAATTGATGCTTTGAAAATGTGGTGTTGGAGAAGACTCTTGAGAGTCCCTTGGACTGCAAGGAGATCCAAAAGATCTGATTTAGGATCAGTCGATCCTAAAAGAAGTCAACCCTGAGTGTCCTTTGGAAGGCCAGATCCTGAAGCAGAAGCTCAAATACTTTGGCCACCAAATGAGAAGAAAGGGCTCCTTGGAAAGGACCCTGATGTTGGGAAGACCAAAGAGGAAGGGGATGGCAGAGGATGAGGTGGTTAGATAGGGTCATTGATGCAATGGACCCACATTTGGACAAACTCCAGGAGACAGTGGAGGATAGGGGTGTGTGTGTGTGTGTGTGTGTGTGTGTGTGTGACTTGCTGTGGTCCATGGGGATGGAAAGTGTCAGGCACAACTTAGTGACTGAACAGCAAAGGCTGCTTTAGTCTGGTAAAATTCCTGCCTATAGGCGAGTAGCAATAAGCATGCCACTCATTGTGCAATGAGCACATAAGGAAGGTTGCAGCTCACAGTGGCCTGTTGTAAGTTTTATCAGACCATTGTTTGCAAGATGCAAACGAAGACCATTGGCCTTAGTAGATAACAGAAGGCCAGGAAGAAACCTGAGATCTCTTACATTACAGGTAGTCCTCGACTTACAACAGCTCATTCAGCGACTGTTTCAATGGCACTGCAAAAAGTGACATAGGACCATTTTTCACACTTACGACCCTTGCAGCATCCCTATGGTCACGTGATCAAAATTCAGATGCTTGGCAACTGAGTCATATTTATGACCATTGCGGTGTCCAGCAGTCACGCGATCCCCTTTTACGACCTTCTGGCAAGTAAAGTCAATGAGGAAACCAGATTCCTTTAACAACCAGATTGCTAACTTAACAACTAGAGCGATTCATTTAACAGCTGTGACAAGAAAGGTCATAAAACAGGGCAACATTCACGTAACAACTGTCTCACTTGGCGACAGAAATTCTGGACTCAATTGTAGTCGTAAGTGAAGGACTACCTGTACATTTATATTTTCTGTATTCATTTCTCCTAATGTTTCTAGCTGCATGTGGCTTATTTTGATTCGGTTTCTGCATTTTTTATAATTTTGTTCATTCTGAAAGGGATGACTTGCACGAGGGGTCTCCCTGTTGGGTGGAATATCCGCTGGAAACCAATCCACCTCTAAACTCTCAGCAAGATGAAAAGAATCCAAACCTGGATTGGATCCCGCATCAGCTTCTATGTTATGCAATTGGAGAACGGGTTTTCACCAATTACCATTTCTTTGGGGCCAATGGTTTTTTTAAAGATATTAGTAATGAAGACTTTAAAACTGAATGTAAAACAAAATTCTCTCATTTTTGTAGGCCCAAAGAAACCTCATGAAGCAAAGAAACATCGACCACCACCAAGTACGTAAGCTCTAGCCAAGATGATATGCAAGCCACAAGATGGGCGACATATACACTGAATAAGTGTTAAATAAAATAGTCTTATTGGTGTAGCATACAATGTAAGAGTACTGAGTATCAGGAGGGAGCTGCTGGGAAGCAGTTCTCGGTGAACGGGATAAATATTGTGGATCTTTTAGAGAAAGATGAGAATTCCTACAGAAAAGCAAGTTAAAAAATTCTAACAATCACATCAACATTAAGGTCTACATCATGGCATCCAATGGGTTTCTTTGCCTCTCCCCCCCAACTCTAGAGAAATTCCATCTTTGGTCTTTAAAGAGTTTGCGAGGCGTGAGAAACGTTGGTCCTCCTGGATTCCGAGTTTGTGCTCCTTCCATCCTAGGACAGGGGAAGTTTGGCCAGGAGAGTCTTTCTACAGATGTGCCAGGCGCATCTGTTCCAGGACCAGGAGACCACTCAAGTTGTCACTGATGCCTTGTTTGCCTTCCAATTGGACTACTCTAGTGTGATTTACATGAGGCTGCCCTGGAATTTACAGAATAACAGAGTTGGAAGGAACCTTGGAGGTCTTCTTGGCCAACCTCCCTGGCCAAGCAGGAGACCCTAGACCATTCCAGACAAGTGGCTGTCCAATCTCTTCTTAAAAACCTTCAATATTGGAGCAACCACAACTTCCAGAGCCAAGCCATTCCACTGATTAATTGTTCTCACTGTGAGAAAACTCCTCCTTAGTTCCAGGTTGCTTCTCTCCTTGATTACTTTCCATCCATTGCTTCTTGTCCTGCCCTCAAATGCTTTGGAGAATAGTTTGATCTCCTCGTCTTTGTGGCAGCCCCTCAGATATTGGATATTGCTATCATGTCACACCTACTCCTTCTCTTTGTTAAACTAGATATGCCCAATTCCTGCAACCGTTCTTCATTTGTTTTGGCCTCCAGTCCCCTAGTCGTCTTTGTGGCTCTTCTCTGCACCCTTTCTAGAGTCTCAACATCTTTTAAAAACCGTGAAGGCCAAAACTGGATGCAACATTCCAAGCATGGCCTTACCAAGCATTACAAAGTGTTACTAACGCTTATGTGGGGCACAATGGCCCAGGGGTTAAAAAGGCTGCGCTTGTCAGCTGGAAAGCTGAGAGTCTCGGTTTGAAACCTGAGCGCAGTGCAATGGGGAGAGCTCCTATTCCTTGACCTGACTGCTGCCCACCTAGCAGGTTGAAAGCATGCAAATTTGAGAGATTAATAGGTACCACTTCAGTGGGAAGGTAACAGCGTCCCCTGCACCTCTGGCGTATAGCCTTGCTGGCCACCTGGCCACAGAAAATGACAACATTGGTTCCCTTGGCCAAGAAACGGAGATGAGCATCGCTCCCTCGAGTTGGACACGACTGGACAGGGGAAAGCTTTAACTTTTTTTTAAACCAACACTTCAGGTGATCTTGATTCGATCCCTCTGTTACTTTTACAGCTGCGTTGGAAAACTTGTTATGCTACAGCTGATCCAGAATGTAGCGTTGCAGGCTGTACTGGATGTATCATAGTGTGTTCATGTGTCTCCCTCACTTCACAAGTTGTGCTAGTTGCCAGTTGGCTTCTGGGTGTAATTCACGATGCTGGTTATCTCCTCACGGCCTGCGTCCGAACAGCCGCTGGAAATTCAACATCTCCCTATGTTTCAGCCTGCCTGGATGCTCTGGGTCTTGTCAACTAAGCAGGGTCATCCATATTGCTGGCACTTTATTGATGCTTCACGTGTTTCTGAAAATCTGGCCTTGGGGGGTAGGATGTCCAGATGAATATTTCTGGGTTTTCTCCCCTTTTTTGGCTTTCTCGGTTATGGTTTCCCAAAGGTGATTTTCCAAAAGGCAACTGGACTTTCTTGGTTTTTGGAAACCAAGGCTGGAGGAAACCAAAGAAGCTTCTTAGATGAGAAGCAAAACTTAAAAAAAACCAAGAAAATCCAGTTGCCTTTGGGAAAAGCATCTTTGGGACAACCATGACCTGGATTAGAGAGAATCTCCAGAGAGATTCATTATGGATTGTTCTTCTGGTCAACCTTGTCTTCTTTTCTCTGATATACATCACTTCTCAGTGTTATTCCTTGTAAGCCACTGAGAGTTTCCAGAGTGAGCAGCCTTGAACCCTAAATGAAACATATTCTCTCATGCTTTAATTCCAGTTCCTGGTGAAGAAGAGATAGTGAAAGAAAAGAAAAAAGAAAAATCACACAAAGGTTTGTAAGCTTTTGTAACAGCCAGTCATTTTAGCCAGAATGCTATTACTGCAACTGTTTCGGATCTTATGGTTTAAACCAGAATATTTAATTGTTTGTTTGTTTGTTTATATCCTGCCTTTATTATATTTACAAATAACTCAAGTCAGTGAACGTACCCGATACTCCTTTCTCTTCCTGTTTTCTCACAACATCAATCCTCTAAGGTGAGTTGAGCTGAGAGAGAGTGACTGGCTCAAGGTCACCCAGCCAGCTTTCTCACCTAAGGCAGGACTAGAACTTACAGTCTCCTGGTTTCTGGTCTGATGTCTTCACCACTAGACCAAAGTGGCTCTCTTAATAACCCATATTAAGAGTTTGCATGATGGCAATTGTGGTGGCAGAACAGTGTTATTTCTCTGTCCTTATCACATCTCCCAATAGCCACCTGTTGACCCTGTTCAAGGTGACCCAGTCAGTCACAGGATGATCTGCAGGGCTGTTGTGAGAAATATTCCTGATATTTGGCAGATAAAGTTGCTTGGATCAGCTCAGAGTGTCTGGACCAGGGGTGAAATTCTCCCAGTTCGGACCGGATCACCTGATCCGGTAGCGATGGCGGTGGGTGGTTCGGAGAACCGGTAGCAAAAATCCATGTGCCCCCCCCACCATGCCCAGCTGAGCCGCACGATCATCAAAGGCTTTTGTTTTTTACTTTTAAAAGCATTTTTTCTACAACCTCTTCCGACGAAAAAATGCTTTTAAAAGTAAAAAAAAAAGCTTCTGATGATCGTGCGGCTCAGCTGGGATCGTCAGAGGCTTTTCAAAGCATTTTTTTCTACAACCTCTTCCGACGAAAAAATACTTTTAAAAGTAAAAAAAAAGCTTCTGATGATCGCAGGGCTCAACTGGGATCGTCAGAGGCTTTTCAAACCATTTTTTTTTCTGCAACCTCTTGGCCGAAAAGGTGGTAAAAAAAATGATTTGAAAAGTCTCTGAAGATCCCAGCTGAGTTGCCTGATTGGCAAAGGCTTTTCAAAGCATTAGAAAAAATGCTTTGAAAAGTTTTTTTTAAAAAAGTTGGCCACGCCCACCTAGTCACATTACCCCCCCCCAAGTCACACCCACAGAACTGGTAGTAACAAATTTTACATTTCACCCCTGGTCTGGACAGGTCCTGATGAGGTACCTATGATATGGCCTTCTACTTACCTGGAGCACGTTTGCCTCTGTAACTCCTGGGGAGGTAGATGGGCTCCTCCAGTCTGTCAGCTCAGCCCCCTGTTAGTTAGACCCTCTCAGATGGTTCCAGCTGCCCAGCAAGTGGCCTGTGTCTGGGTAATGTGATGTTTTCTGCAGGAGGGGACAGTACCGTCAGCCTTGAAGGAGTCTGTGGTGTGCCTCTCCTTAAGGGGCAATTGCTGGACCCCATCATCCTTGACCACTTTCATCCAGTCTCGAACCTTCCCTTCGAACAGAAAGCATTTGGGACTATCAGGCTTCCACTCTAGAGGACCTGAAGGAAATAGATGATCTAGACCTGTTCAGTTGGGATTCAGGCCAGGGTTCAGAATGGAGGCAGTTCGGTTCCATATGTCGAAGTCCTGTGGCAGAGCAAAATGAGAGTGGTGCATCCATCTTGGTACTTCTTGACTCCTTGGTAGCGTTCAGTACCATTGACCATTGTACCAAGGCCCCATTTGAGGGAAGCTTCGGGGACTGGGAGTAATGGTTTACTGGCACTGCTCTCCTCCTTCCTCTGTGGCCTGTGTCAATTGGTCTTGATAGGGGCAAGAGGTCAATTCTCTCTTCAGGTCTGCTTAACCTCTAGATCAGGAGTCTCCAAATGTGGCAATTTTAAGACTTGTGGGCTTTCTGGCTGGAGAATTCTGGGAGTTGAAGTCCAGAAGTCTTAAAGTTGCCACGTTTGGAGATCCCTGATCTAGATGAACCATTGGGTGAGGTCATCCATCAGTTTGGGCTCTGGGCTCATCATCATGCTGATCATACCCAGTTGTGCATCTGAACTGGGGGACAAGTGACATTCTTAAAGTCCTGATCCACGACCAGACCGGAGGCTTTGCAAACCAGGATGGGGAGAAACAGGCTCAAACCCAGTCCTGACAAGACCAAATGGCTTTGTTGGTTTGGCTTCCGTGGGCCCAAGGACATTCCTTCTTTGGTCTTTAATGAAGTGACACTTCCCCAGGCAGGATGGGTGCACGAGGGCAGGTCCTCCTGAACTTCCAGCTCCTGATCAAGGAGGAAGTGGAAGCTGTGGTGAGGAGAGTTATTCCACAGGTCAATCTGGTATCCCAGTTGCACCTGTTCCCGGCCCAGGAGGCTCCTCAGAACAGTCCATGATGCCTTCTTCACCTTGCAATTGGACTCCTGTAATGTGCTTTACCTGGGGCTCCATGGGAGACTACTCAGATGCTACAACTATCCAGAATGCAGCAGCGTGTGCAGTGGAGGCCCTGTACATGTCCCCATTGCTTCACGAGCAGCATTGATTGTCAGTGGCCTTCTGGCTGCAGATCAGGCTGCTGATTATCACCTATGAAGCTCTTCGTGGCTTAGAGCCCAGCCACCAGGGATCGCACGTCTTTCTATGTTTTGACCTGCCCAGTGTAGTCAGCCACAGTCGGTTTGCTCTGGATCCTATCAAGCACTGCCATACAGATCCAGGAGGTGTGTCTTCCCAAGGATGGCTCCGCCCCCTGGAATGATATTACTGCTCACCCAGAAATCCATACTGCTGACATCCTATTTAAGTTTCACAAATTGCTGAAAATTTGGCCTTGGGGTAGAATGGCTGGTTGAACCCCGTTGTTCCTGTTTTTGTTGTTTGTTTGTTTGTTTTTCTATTAAGGACTGGTCTTCCATCAACTGTCTTTGCTTTGCTTTTTATATCTTACTTTTAATGTTACTTTTAAGCTACCTACAGTTGTTCCAGAGCAGGCAGTCATGACATTGGAATATTACATTAATCCCAATATACTCTGTCATTTTCTAGCTCATGCCCCCGATGATGAAGAAAAACCAAAATCAGAAAAACCACACAAAAGTATGTAAGCCAGCTACTAATATTACTTTAACTTTTTTGGGATCTTGTGTTTTGAAACGTACTTAGCTGCATTGGCTTCTTGAAGGTCTGATGCTGCTTCACCCTCACCGTCAGCCTTCCATCACCTGGACGACTGTGGGGATGCGGGCCAAGCAATGGGAAGGAGGCCCATGCGAGAGAGGAAGGGAGGATCTGCCCCCCCTCTATTCAGGAGGAGGAATGGAGACCCCCTGCTTTCTGACAGGAGCCTGGGATGCTGTCAGTTGTCTCTTCAGAGAGGGAACAGAGGTGGTCGAGGGGCAGATCTGCAGATAGCAAGCAAATTGCCTTGAAGGAGATAGGCAGGAACTGTTTCCTAGGCAAGAGAGGCTGAAGCATTTTAAAGTCCAGAACAGACCTCTCAGTGGTGTGTCCAGGGTCCAAAGTGTGGCCTCCTCCTTGGTGAAACCTGGGATGAGTCTTCTGTCCAGCATCATTAGTCCATCAAAGAGTGGAGGGAGTTTAATCTAAGATGAACATTTCATGTACTACAAAGATGATTTGGAGGTGGGAGGAACTTCTAATGTAATTTACTGGATTTTCTGCATGGATTGCCTCTATGACTATTTAAGACAGATGGGGAGGAACCAGACTGTGAGAACACCAGCGAGTGATTAGACAAGGAGACCCGAACTCATTGGTAGCTTCACGTTGCAATGAACAAGGACATGCATTAGGTCTCACAGCTACTATGATTGTTGGCCGAGCAGGGACAAAAATAGCCAGACGAATAATTGAAGCCTGAGAAATGGGCCCCTTGCCAGTCAATAAGAGTGCTGATTTATCGTCAGCCTATCAGGTATGTAGAGCAGTGGGCATGAGGGCATAAAGAAACAACAACTAATAACTTAATAACCTGCCATCAGCACCCTAATTAACAACCGAAAATCTACACACAACCAGCCACTATATAAATACAATGCATAGAACAGCTCAGGGCACACTTTCTGGAGAGAGAGAGAAGTTCCCTGATGATGGGCTTGGAAGAATAAACCTCTGGTCCTGGTGACCAAACCAGATTGGATCTTGCAACATTATCCTGGGACACGTATATTTGCCTCCATTCGTGTGACCATTTCATGTCAGCGCCTTTCATTTAGCTAGCCTGTCAAAGGCCCTGTCCTTCAGTCGTTGGCATTTCCTCAGGGCTGCCTGTCTCTGAGACCATCTACTCCCAAGAGATTCCACCCATCCTTTTGCCTAAGGAAGATGCTTGTTGAGGGTTCAACTCTCTCCAAGGTTTCTGGGGGAAGAGTGGTCCCAGGCTTGCGGTCCCTACAGGACCGAGCTTCTTGTTGAATGCCTTTCCACCAGGAGTAAGATTTGCGTCCCCCGCCCTATCTTTAAAGAAGTTTTAAAAACTCATCTGTTCCAAAAATGATTGGAGAACCTGAGGGACTTTTCCCTGGAATGAATGTGGGTTGAAGATAAAATGCAAATGTTAATTGGGCATGGAATGAGTGACCAATGTGAAAAGACTATGTTACAGTATAGAGTAACAGAATAACTGGAAAGGACTTTGGAGGTTCTCTAGTCCAACATCCTATACCATTGCAGACAAGTGGTTGTCCAGCTTCAAAATTCAACTTCCAGAGTTTTGCCATCCAGCAGCTCTTAAAAACCTCCAGTGATGGAGCACCCACAGTTTCTGGAGGCAAGCTGTCTACCAAATAATTGTTCCTACTGAATACTTCCTCTTCGGTTCTAGGTTGGATCTCTCTTTAATGATCTTCCACCTGTTACTTCTTGTTGTGCCTTCAGGTGCTTTGGAGAATAGGTTGACCCTCTCTTCTTTGGGGAAGCCCCTTAGACAGTACAGTGGTTTATTTTAGTCAACTGCAGATTGGATTGGACTATCCACTTAGGGAGGACGAGTGAACGGGTCCACAGGAAAGGGAAGTTGGGGGAAACGGCGGTTGGATGCAGCTGAATAAGAGGGCACAACTTCTTTTTTTTTGAATTTTTTTTATTTATTTTTAAACATAAAACATAAAACACATCTTTTTAGAGCAAAGGTTTGATCCGGTATAAAATAAGTATAAATTCCAATTTCATCCATTAACATCTTAAAGAAGAAAAAAAAAGAAAAGAAAAGAAAAAGAAAACAAATCTAAACCCAATTCTTATCATTCAATCTAACATTTTGTTCTAGCATTTAACATTCTACTATATATCACTCTAAATCTTAAATTCCAAATCTAAACAGCTTTTTATAATATTCATTTATCATTTTAACAATCAGTATTTCATATATTTTCCTTACTTCAAAGACCCAAATCAAATCAGTGTTTCTTCAAAATCACATCTAAAGTCCGACATAAAATATTTTATTCCTCTCTTAAGAACATTTCAAAATCCATTCACTTTAAAATTTATTCCACATTTCCATCTATAATTTATTATATCCAAAATATTTTATTTTTGCTAGTTAAAGCTTCTTCTCCATTACAACTAATTACAACTAATTCTAATGTTTAAGTAGTTCATAATTTATATAGCTATTCCCCAGCAATATTTTCCTCCACTTCTATCAATTTGGCTTTAACTATTCTTCAAAAATATCCCCTTCACTCCTCCTAGGTTTATTTTTGGCTGGATTACAGTTTAGTTAGCTTGTTTCCAGGGATGCTTTCCTCCACTCCTAACCTTATTTGTTGGCTGGATCACAGTTTGGTTTAAACTGCTCTCCAACATTTTCTCCTCCATTCCTCCTAGTTTTTTTTTTTGCTGGATAATGGCTTAGTCAGCTGTTTTCCAGGGATGCTTCCCTCCGCTCCTAACCTATATTTAGCTGGTTCACAGTTTAGCTTTAACTGCTCCCCAGCATGGTCTCCTCCACTCCTCCTAAGTTTATTTTTAGCTGGTTCACAGTTTAGTTAGCTGTTTTCCAGGGGTTCTTTCCTCCACTCCTTATCTTATATTTAACTGGTTCACACAGTTTAGCTCTAACTGCTCTCCAGCATCATCTCCTCCGCTCCTCCTAAGTTTATTTTTGGCTGGTTCACAGCTTATCCAGCTGTACTCCAAAGATGCTTTCCTTCACTCCTAACCTTATATTTGACTGATTCACAATTTAACTTTAATCATCTAATGCATTTTAATATATATCTTCTCTCCTTCTCTCTCCTGATCTATTAATTTTCTTTAAATTTCTCCCCCTTTCCTATTTGTTTCTTGTTTTTCTATGAAAAACAATATTTTAAATCATTTTGAAAACCAAATTTACCATAATTATAAAATCTATAAACGTCTTATTAGTGTTTAAAAAATTTGATTTCCATTCTCTTATTTACTATGAAAAAACAACATTTTAATTCACTTTAAAATCAATTTTCTGCAACCATGAAAGCTCTTATTAATATTTAAAAAATTCTTTCATAGTCTTCACATTTTTTGTAGTTTTCTATAATAACTTTTCTTGCTTTAAAAATAATCATAAAATCTATAGACAATTCTTGTTACTATTCAAAGCTTCATTCACATTTTCTTATTTTCTATAAAGAACAATATTTTAAACCCTTTTAAGACATCAATTTTCTGTAATCATTAAGTCTATCAACAATTCTTATTAGTAATCAAAAATTCATTCATAATCGTCATGTTCCTTATAGTTTTTCTATAATCACATTTTTCCCATTTTGAAAATTGCTTCTCTCAATAATAATAATAAAAAGTAAAAAAGGAAGGAGAAAGAGAGAAGAAAAAAAAGGATAAAAGTAAGGCAAAAGAGATCAAAAGAAAAAATTAGAAAAAGAAAGAGGAAGAAAAAAAAAGAGGAATAAAATAAAAAAATTATAGGGAAAAAAGGAAAAATTAGAAAAGAGAGAAAAAGAAGGAGGAAATCTCCTCCTCATTATTTAGACATTAATTGCATAAAGAGCATTTACCTCCATTTAAAATCAGACTGTCGTATTTTTTTCTTGTCTTGCTACTCAATATATTCCAGTTTTTTTTCCCTTTCTCCAATCTGTCCATCTTTTTTTTTTCTTTCCTTTCAATTCCAATATCAGTAAGGTTATAAAAGACTAAAGGGTTTAGTTCTTTGTATTCTATATATGGTGTCATCATGTCTTCTTCCGTTGCTACTACGCCCTTCCCTTTTGTTGCCACGCCATTAATCAGCAGTTTTAATTGTTTCCGATTAATTCCTTCTTTCCAACTGTCCATAAGTAGTCCAGAGACAGATTAAATGCATCTAAA